GAGACTGAGTGAGAGACTGAGTGAGAGACTGAGTGAGAGACTGAGTGAGAGACTGAGTGAGAGACTGAGTGAGAGACTGAGTGAGAGACTGAGTGGTTATATTCTTTGAGTGAGATGTTATCTCCTTTTCTTCTGTAATTCGAAGATCGACACATTTCTATCATGCTTTCTGTCAAACCGACGAGTTCTTTCCCTTTGGATATCGGCGACGAACCAGCTTTTGTCGGTCTCTTGGCCAAACGTACGGCTTCCGATTTTCTCCCCCATCATATTGCCCTTCATACTCACGCTTTGAGGGTTGTGCGTCATTTGAATCTCTGTGGCCAAGCTAAGAAGTAGGAGGTATCATCTCGAATAGAAAAGAAAAGTCAAGTCCATTTTCCAGTGAATATCCCTGTCCGTCCCCTGCAGGGCTCGAATGATGCAGGATAAAATCGGATGTTCGTCGTCACCTACGAGGCCTGAAGTTTACCGAGGACTGACGGTACTATCCAGGCAATTTTGTCCTACAAGACATTATATCCATTTGAGAGACACTTGAGGTCTAAAGGCAATAATAATACAGTACTAGTAGTGAAGAAAAAGTAAGCGCAGAGTACGGGAGTAGATTCTGTGGTGATCAAATTAGCTCCGAGTGCGGTGCCTGCAGTTTCCTTCGGCTAAACTTCGTCTCCGCAGTCGCCTGCAGATCGGTCCTTTTGGACGTGCACGTCTTGAGTTAGTCGCAGCCTGGCACGACCTCTTCGAATATTCGTATCTTCGCAACCCTCTCCCTGTCTCTACGCAAATCATCACAGCATCACCTGTGGCCCAGCCGTGCTCCTCTTTACGGATGTGCACCCACCTCAAGCCATCCTACCCTCTCTCCGCCTCAAAAGCGTTTGTATGGGCTTCCTTAGGACAGCCACCATGGGTACAACGTTCTCTTACTTGCGCATTCCTATCTTCGCCTCATCCGGCCTCGCAGCTCTAGGAAGCAGTCTACTTTACTTCAAACAGAACGACATCATCTATCCTGCAAACCTACCCGCGGGCGCGAGGACCAACGTACCTACGCCCGACCAGTTCAACCTCAAATCAGCAGAGTCCATCAAGTTCCCTACCCCCGACGGCGAAACCCTCCACGCGTACCTCTTGCGACCGCCCACTCCTTCCCTCAAGAAGAATATCACATTGGTCACATTTCACGGCAATGCTGGAAATGTTGGCCATCGCCTGCCCATAGGCAAAGTATTGTCGGAGAGCTTGGGTTGCCACGTATTTATGGTCGAGTATCGAGGATACGGCCTGTCCACCGGATCACCAGACGAGGAAGGCTTAACAATCGACGGGCAGACAGCACTAGACTATGTCCGAAATCATGAAGAGCTGAGAAAGACAAGTATCGTGCTGTACGGGCAAAGCCTGGGTGGTGCGCTTGCAGTCAAGCTTCTGCAGTCAAATGAGCAGGCAGGTGATATCGCCGCCGTCATCCTCGAGAACACCTTTCTGTCAATTCGCAAGCTGATACCCTCGGTCATGCCTCCGGCGAAATATATCGCCTATCTCTGTCACCAGCGCTGGAACTCGGAAGAGAGCCTGGCCAAAGTAACAGACAAGGACATCCCCCTGTTGTTCCTCTCCGGCCTCAAAGATGAGATTGTGCCTCCCACAATGATGAGGACCCTATACGAGGCATGTCCTGCGAAGAAGGTGTGGCAGGAGTTTCCCAATGGAGACCACAACTCGACCGTGGCGGAGCCAGGCTATTTCGACGCGATTTGGGAATTCCTCGTCGAAGACGTTTTGAGAAGTTCACGGAAAGCGGATGTCAAGCGAGGTAATACCGACGTCGACCGGGAAGAGCTTTGGAGCTGAGGCGAACGCTTCATGTAAACAGACGCGGACTCTTCATGAAATCCTTTCAGCTTCATCGACCAGTTCTTCCAAGTTGAACCCCTGGTCACCCTTGCTGAACTTCTCCAGCAATCCCTGACGCTTCTCGCGTCCTACGCCTCCACCATGGCCTTCATGGTCATAAAACTTTTGCAGACACATCAAAAGCCATCTGCCTTCTTCGACGCTAACGCCGCGCCCTTCGACTACAGAGCCATTGAGCAGTACAATGCCGTGAGAATCAGCAAGGTCGAGGTGGTGTGTGATGGTTGTGTGCGGTTGCGCATATGTCCCGTGTACCTTGAAAGCCGCCAGATGTGTAAAGAGGACTGTACTTGTGTGTGTATTTGCAGTCTTGACCTTGGAGCTTGCGGAGGCATCTGCCGGAGGATGGAAGCCCCATTGCAGGAAGTGGATGTCCGCAGCAGAGCGCTCGCCTCCTTCGAATCCCTGCGGTGATTGTTTGACGTCGCCGCTGCCGTCCTCAGCCGTCGGTCGAGGAAGCGGGAGGACGAATTGAGGGTGTTTTCGGGCTGTGCGATAGATGCGGTTGTATGTCTCGAGAGGGACGACAGCGCATAAGGACAAAGGATCATTGGCGTGCCGAAGTCTCCAGATATATTCCACCTCTTTGTTCGGTAGGGTCGAAACCTTATCTAGGTCGAGGTACGATGAAAGTGACCGAATGCCGGGGGTGTTTGATTTGAGAGCAGTGGGTGCTTTTGACTTCGCCGTGGGAGCTGCAGCTTGTGGTGTAGGTTGAGACGGTGGCGGAGGAGGTTGGAAAGGCGACTGGCTCGACGGTGTAGATGACGAACGCTTGTAATTTTTTATCTTGTCGGCGTAGGCCTCTTTCAGTGAGGAGACGGTGTCATGGCCTTCCCTTCAACACGAGTCAGTTCTGCATGGCAAATGTATCCATAGAAAGGGAATCGGAGAGGTAGTAGGTGGGAATCTGTACTGTTTCGCTTTCTGCTCCAGTTTGTCCCTGTACTTTTCTAATATGCGTTCTGAATCACGGTGGGTGGTTACGAAGCGCACATCGTGGACGCGGGCATAGCGGCGCTGCGACTGGGTACGGAGTAGCGAGGTCGAAGGGCCAATTGTCCGCCGGATGACGAGAGAAGTTGATGCGGACATCCTGAAGGTACGGGCAGAGTCATGAAAGGGCGCTGGAGAGAAGATTAAATGTTTGATAGCCACCGCAGGTAGCTCGTGCATTTGGATGGCGAAGCTGCGGTCCTCGTCTGGAGTACTCCGATTGGTTGCTTTCGGGAGGTGGAGTTGAATTACTTAAGTCAGTCCAATTCGCCCGTTTCGCCTCGCCGTACCATAGGTAGTACTTGAGCCGCAGCGATGTCCGTGATGCCCTTGCACGTTACGAAGGCGAGCACTGGAATGCCTGAGAAGCGTCAATGGGAGAACAAGTTGTGTGGGTGCAAGTGTCGAAGGTTGAAAAAGGGTGCATCCTATCCAAGCAGGTTGTATCAAGAGTACTGTCACCAAATGTCCACACGCCCATGGACAACGATGAATATCCTTTAATGTAGCACCATGAATGCAATGCGAAGCGATGTAATGCCCATCCAAACACCTCGCTATGCTCTCAAGAACGACAAGGAAATCCTGACTCCGTCCTGCCAGGTCGAATTTTTTTGACCGATTATTCACCAAATCCTGTGCACGGCAGGCGCCCCCGCCAAAGATCGAGCTCATCCTTATCCGACCAACTAATCCGCCGATTTGGCCTTACAAAACAAGTCCCAGTGTTGTTATGCAACGGGCTTCAAGTTCTAGCAGTTGAGTCTCCAATGGCACCAAGAGGCTGACCGCGCACTTTGATGATAAAACGCTATGCTGTAATTTGGCAGGTGTGGCTGCACTCAAGTAGATGATTGCGTGAGCATTCAACTCTATTTTGACTTGCCCGTCTCGGTGAAGATTGTAACGATAAGAAGAGAGCCGCAGATGGTTCCAGAGGGCCGTATTCAGCTAGCTCAACGCCATTTTTTGGTTTGTGGCTTTTAGCGGGTCGTTGAGCGAGGCAAATCTGGTACGATGAGCCAACGCGAATCGAGTAGATTGCAAAGAAGGCCAAGAGAGGTTGGAGTGGTGTGAAATTCTAGTTGGCGACACATCCTTGGTATGTCCAACAAGAACCTGGCTAATTGAACGTAAAGCCGGTTGATGAAACCGTCATATCTGGAAGAGCAATAACTCCTCGGTGTCGTGGTCAGCATCGAAGAACGGCCAGGTAGGCCTGACTGACTTGGATACGGAGCCTTGCTCAGTCAAAGATATCATGATAGGTCCAGGCTACCTTCGAATGTTGATCTTTCATGGTGGAAGCCATTCATCCTTTGCAGCATGTCCAAAGCATTCCTGAGCCAAGGAATCTTTCATACCCAGGAACAGTCGAGCACACTCATTATCCAGAGCATTGATCTTATTCTTCTTGCTACCGACTCTACCGGCGGTAAGAATCTGGAGCGTCTCGAGGATGACCAGTAGGTAAATATTGCGACGCATCTCGATAATGACCAGCGGGCAAATGTTGACTGGGAGGCCGCTGAGACTGTTTTGCGACTTCGGCGGTGGGAGAAAAGAATAGACTAGGTACGTTGGAGAAGGATCGAGGCAACTTGCTAAGGTCTGCCATGTCATGCCCAGATTGTGCGGCAGGATGTTTCTTGAGGTCTGGAAGAGGCGTGTAGGAGATGTTGCCGCCTGCAGCACCACTTCTAGCATCGCGCTTGAAGGCTCGATTGATCGACCAGGACATCATCACTCTCCATACGAATATCAGGATTCCAACAAACCCCAAAGCTGCACCAACAACGATGAAGACGAAGTTCTCTGGGAGTTGCGAGGACTCCAAGTAAGGCGCTCCGGCCTTTGGAGGTACGGTAGGTGCAGGGTAATTGTAGCCGCCGGGAAGGGTGGGGAGCTTGCTGTTCGTAGCGGCGACCATTATGTATATCGAAAGTAGGGATATGCTTGAGGAAGAGATGCAGAGTATGCAGGCCTGCTGAAGTAAGAGTGGCAGAAGGGAGGACAAAGACCGGATTGAAAGAAGGTCTCAGATTCGCGTGAGTTTGTTAGTGGCCCCTGCGTAATGGCGCCTGGGATGCGGATATTCTGGGAGAGGCGCCGCCCAAACGGGGCTCAACCGGACTTCGTGCAGGCTCTAATTGTGGCTGAAGCAGGCTCTAAAGTTCCAGATCCCAGGCCCTAGTGTGCCCCTGCAACCCCTGGTTCTTCAGAAACTCCCCAGGCTGCTTTTAGTTAGCTCCGGCGTTAACTTTGGCGACTGTTTGATTATACCCGCAGACTCAGATAATTAATTTCTGCGGCGAAACTCCAAAAGTTGACTTGCAGAGACACCAACTTCATTCGAGTTTTCAGTGGCACACCAATCTCTGCGTCAGGATGGGCGTTCACAAGAAGACTCGCAAGTTCGCGCAAGTCAAACGGATCATCGGCCAGCGTGACGCCCGCCTGAAAAAGAATCAAGACACGGGCAAGACCGTAGACGGCAAGAAAAAGGACGATGATGTGATACGAGAAGTGTGGGTTACACTTCAACGGTGCTCGCATACAGATACTGACAGTTGGCAGACCGCAAGTATCATCAGCACTGTTCTTCCAGTACAATACAGCGCTGGTGCCCCCATATCAGGTCCTCGTCGATACCAACTTCCTCTCACACACGGTCCAGAAAAAACTCGAGATGCTTCCGACCATGATGGACTGTCTGTATGCGAAGTGCATGCCTATCATCACAGACTGCGTCATGGCCGAACTCGAGAAGTTGGGCTCGAGGTATCGGATTGCTCTGCGCATTGCTCGAGACGAACGGTGGGAACGCTTGAAGTGCGGACACAAAGGTACCTACGCCGACGATTGCATAGTCGACAGAGTGCAAAGAGACAAGATATACATCGTTGCAACAAACGACAGAGACCTCAAGCGGAGAATCAGAAAAGTACCTGGTGTACCTATCATGAGCGTGGCAAGAGGAAAATATGTCATTGAAAGACTACCAGGTAAGTCAAGTCACGGCGCGCATCGCTATACAGCACTCGTTTTGAATCTCCCAACATTTCGGGGGCTGAATTCTGTGCCATTCTGGAAGTCCCCGCGAGAGACCTGCTGCAATATGTTGCTAACTTCGTTACCTGCCAGATGCCCCAGAAAAGTGATGAAATGACATCTGTTGCAATCAGGGAAGAAAAAGCTCGTACCATCATGACAGCGCCACTAAAGAGCATCGAGTATGAGCCTTCACGCTCTGACCTTCCACACGGTCCAAATGGACTCAATCCCCCAGGCAACAACTGCCAACGACATAGCGCTCAGCAAGCACATCGCAAAGATCACTTTTCGTCGCACTTGGAATGCTTCGTTGATTTCCTGCTTGGCTAGTTTGCGCTGGTGAGAGTGGTAATACGCATTCTTGTGGTTCGATTGGCCAAAGATACCACCCGATGTTTGGCGGTCAATGAAGAACAGTGAGATTAGAAACGAAACGCAGAGTACTGGCACCACTATGAGGCGGCTGAACAGTGACTCTCGGATGAGCTCCTCTGGCACTGTTGTTGCTCCTTTAGCAGGCATCGTAATCAGCTTGTGGTTGGCTTTGTCGGCAAGTGTTTGTCGAGCGTGTCGGAATCAGGCCAGGCTCCCGTCGTTGAGGGCGGCAAGAAGAAGCTCTGCAAACGCACTGTCTGGGCCTTTGAAGCAGTTACAGTGGTGGCAGAGTGCTGTTGAAGCCGAGCATTCGCTTGCTTAGTCACTTGCAAGGTGATGTCAGGGCTCGGATGTTCCGGAGGATTGTTCTTCTTGTGAGTCGAGCACAATTGGCAAATTATTGCATTATTATCCTCCGACCGACACGAATGCATGCCTTGAGACAGTCAAATTGGATGCGATTTACGGCTTGATTCCGAAATCAGAAGATCATATATGTGCAGTTTGGCTTCTGCCTGAGGTACTCGTACGATGGTATGCGGTCTTGAAATTTCTTGCATTGGGGGCCATTGCGGGCCAGCTGTCGTCAACTGTGGCTGGTCGCTTGCTGTTCGTAACAACTATCAATATAGGGTTAGGCTACATTGGCTGAGACTCCAGGCATAGCAACAATTGAGATGATCTTCACTGCTGCGGCCATTTTGTATTCCAGTACGACCTCTCCCACAAACTCTCAAAATGGGTGCTCGTAATAAGCCTTTCCGAGAAAGACGGCTAAGGTAGACAGCCACAGGTCCTGAGCTCCTTTTGTCTATCCCAAATACATGCCGCATCACTGTCATCGCGTTCTAGCCATCTGGATTGCTCGGAGCGTTGAGCCAGAAAATGCAGCATTCTCAACCCGTCCGTGAATTAGCGATATCTAACACGAGAATATCCGTCGCATCCGCCGCCGTCAAAGCATCCATGACCGTCGCGATATCCTTCTTCTCGACCATCGACTGGACAGCAACCCAATCCGATTCCTCCAGCGCAGTTATCGTCGGCGCCCTCTTGCCCGGCGTAATCTTCGTCGCTTCGGTCAGCTTGGACCTAGGGACGTTGTACGTGCACAGGACATATTTCTGCGCCGTGATGACTCCACGTATTCGTGCCGCGATCAGGTTGACCAGTTTCTCGTTCGACACTGATCTGCTCTTGATTAGCACCGCTGTGCTCTCGACCACCGTATCAATCGCCTTCAACCCGGCGGCCCTCATCGTCTCGCCTGATTCGACGAGATCAATGATACCATCTGCCACGCCCAGTGCACAGGCTGCTTCAACGCTTCCACCCACGAATTTGACCTTCGTCTTGAGCTTGGGCACAGGACTTTCCGTGCCGTTGATACTTTCCTTGCGGCTGCCCATACCTTCCAGTCGTGCGAAGTAGTCTTCTGCCAAACCCGTGAAACTCGTTACGATGTTTTTGCCCACAAGATCTTGCACTTTTTGGATCGTGCCCTTTTCAGGGACTTGCACTTGGAGCTTACATCTGCCAAAGCCGAGGTCCATAACCTCTTCGACGCCTGACTGCTCGCCGAGTGGCAAGTGGGTGTCATGTTCGGCAACTTGGTCGCGGCCAGTGATCCCCAGGTCGACTTTGCCTTCGCCGACGAATGTGGGGATGTCGGCGGCTGGGAGAAAAATGAGAGCTAGCGGCAGATTCTTGACAAGGGCAATGTCGAGTCGTGTTTCTCGTCTGAACTGAATATCTGAGCCGGATAAAAGGTCTAGTGTTGCGGCTTGGAGTCGTCCCTTTTTAGGTACTGCGAAGAGTAGCCGGTCGGAGAGGTGGTTGACGAGATCCATCTGATATGATTTTGCTTTCTGAGGTCCAGTTGTCCCAGTTGTCGAGTCCTCGTATAAACTCGAGTTTTGCGCTGCGAAGCGTTTGTTGACGTCTACCCAATACAAATGTCCGGCTAATGGCCAGAGAGATCCTCCGAACGCAATCCACTAAATGCAGACTTGACGAGTGCTTTCAAAGCATAGACCGTTTGCAGTCGTGATATATGATTCGCATCCAAGCAGGACTCTATGAAGAATTTGTGCAACGATTTACTTTGGAGCTGTTAAAGAGCCAGTATCGACCAATGATTGACTCACGGGCCATTGGACGGGGGAGCCCTTCTTCACCAAATCTCGCTGCTCTTTGAAAAAGCAGGGGTCGTGGCTTGGCACTGTGTAATCTTGGCAAAGCTGGATCCCACATCCAGAAATTCCATCGAAGGGATCTTGACCGCAGTTTGCACGACCAACAGTTCTCTCCTTCCAGTCTCGCATCGTCATTAATTTCAAGTCCTCACCGGAGATCCCTTGCATACTTGGAAATCAGTCAAGATGGATGCCGGCAAAGTCCCCGTCAAGCTCGTCAAAGTCACCCGAGTCCTCGGCCGAACTGGTATGCGCAGACGAAGAAAGGAATAATATCATGCACAGTGGCTAATTGTGGTTTCCTACCAGGTTCGCGAGGTGGTGTCACACAGGTCAGAGTCGAATTCATGGACGACACGAGTCGAAGCATCATCCGAAATGTCAAAGGACCAGGTACGAGACACGATTAAGGACTGGCAATTTTGCAAAAGGGAGGGGCATTAACTGACGGACCATTTTGTGAACAGTCAAAGTTGACGACATCCTGTGCCTGCTCGAATCCGAGAGAGAAGCCAGAAGACTGAGATAAACCGTGGGCTCGAGGAGTGGTGATTTTAAAAGTTGGCTCATGAACAAGTCTTGAAGCAAGAACGGCATTTTCGCAGAAGAGAATGAGAGTGCTAAGGACTGCAACTTCTGGAGTTGAATGCGAGTGCATCAGGGCTCGCTATTCCTACGGCAGGCGTCGGTCAGGGTCTTCGAAACGGCCATAGGACTATTTGTCCGCAAGCGAATACATTCGCTGCATCAATCAAGAACATTCAGAACAAGATTCTAGTGGCAATGACATTGCGCAATTGCTGCAGTTCCTGCGCAGGTCTTTTCCCATCTTTCCGGGGGTGTCACCTTCCTCCACGAACGCAAGATACTTATCTTTCGCCTTGCCTGGCCGCAGTCAAGCTCACGGATCCACAGCCGCCTGGAACGCTGCATCTTTCTCTTGATGTATTTGGCTTGTTTTCCAGTTGGAGCTTTTTGGTCTTCTCGGCTCGAATGATTCGGTGGCGAACAGAGTCTGTGCGTGTCACGAAATTGGCTTGTGATATCCGCTGTATCAGCTATCAACGGACGTTCAATAGCACCGTAGTACCAAGTTCTCGTGATATTTGTAGAGAACCCAGGAGGATTGGGCACGTTGCGACCCTCAAGCGTCTCTCAGCCTCGTTGTCTAGATTGTCATATGCGCCACCAATCAGCGCCAGGCTTGGCGTATTCGCCGCTAGATCCCAAGGCTTCACTCGAGGACGTGGCAATGATCCTTAGATGATACTAGAATTGCCGCTTCTAGATGACGAAGTCTATGTTGCCTCTCTCTTGGTGATTGCTATATCTTCGTGGCCGACAGGTGATACTGTGATCATCCACGTTACTCGTTGCACCACTGTCAAGTCCGCATCCCGATCATTTCGGTCTTTGTAATCTGCATTGATGTTATTTGGCGATATTCAAAGCTGTCGACCTTGGAGAGCCTGACGAGCAGAAGTCGACATCATCGGAGCTGGGTTCTTGATCATGCAGCAATCGAAGTGATCAGATATCACAGTTTCAATCATGGCCGACTGGATAACACCCGCCGACCCGGATCGGGAGTACAACTTGATCTCCCAGCTTGAGTTGCGAATCGCTTCGGCATCTACAGATGAGAAGTTCGAGTTGGTACTACAAAAGTTCCTTCCAGCGCTTCTGCTCAAACTTGCAACTTCTGTGCCGAAGAACCGAGAACTAGCTACGAAAGTATGCACTTATGTCTATCAACGGCTGAAAATCAATTCCCAGATTCAATTGCCAGTTGCAGCAGTGGTCAAGACATACTCAGAAGCTAGGATTGCAGGCGTCGTACAATTCGGCCTCTTATTCATGACCTTGGGCCTACCACGATTGAAGCCTGAGCAAGCCACCGAGGCCCTACCCTCGGTCTTGCGATCTGTCATACCGAAGCACAATGAGTATGATAGTGATCAGCGAAAGGCATGGGCTCTTGTGTTCAATTACTTCCTCGACGTCCTCCGGAAATGGAAAGTACCTGAGCGAGGAAGCCCGGATGAACAGGCCTTGAAAGACGATTTTGCTCTCACGCAGGTCCAGACAGACCATCTCGCCTGGAGAATAGGCGATTGGATCCTTCACGATCCTAGGAATCCCTCAAACCCTGGCAGTGCAGACTTTCAAGCGGTATATGACACGAATTACAAACGACGATCCGAAGTTATTCCCCCTCTCGCAAAGTTTCTGTTCACTTCGATCTTCAATGACCAGCAACGCTTTATTCCTACTGTCATCATGTCTGTTGATGCTAACGCCTCTGCGGCCAGCATGAGCGACGTCATGTTCAAACAATGCGACTTCGACCTAGAAGATGAGCAGAACGTTGAAGCGCTCTTTGCCCTCCACGACGGTGCCCCGACAAAGCTGCGGACCAGAATCCTGACGCTTCTGTCCCGAAGCCAAAAATCTACGAAGCGTCCAAAGAAAGTCATGGATCTTGTTCGGCAAGAGCTCGATCCCTTGAGACTCAACAACGGATCAGCGCCCAGCGCCCTCGAGAAATCTAAGCTTCACGCGGCTTTGTTCTCCTACTTGATGTGGGTGGTACGTGTGGGCCCGCAACTCGGCGACATGGGCATTGAAATACAAAATCTGATGAAAGAATACGTGGAATCACAAGGTTGGCCAGTTATGCAAGATCGCTCATCGGCGGCGGAGATCGAGCTCCGTGGCAAAGCCTATGAGAGTATTGGACTGCTGGCTGTCAAGAAGGAAACGCCCAAGGACGAAGAAGCCAACAAGCGCACACTTGACCTCATCACATGGTTGTTTGCGAGCTTGGGTTGCGACACGACTAATGGCATCAGAAGCAGCATCGAAGAGTCCATCGGCCGCATCATGAACACAGTCTCCAGCCTCGACCAATCTTCCCTTATTCGTCTGAAAGACCTTCTTCTTTGGAATGTGCTGGCCGCACCTGGACAGGAGGATCCAACATACTACTTCACGATTGTCAACAGCACGAAGTACCCTGCTGTCAGATTCGCGAACAAGTGTCTGCCTTTCAGTGATGTCGACGCACGACTCATGGACGTCGTGGCTCTGGCCACGTCAGACAGGCGAGAAATCGCAGAGGAAGGTCATCGGGGCCTCGATCCGTACTGGCACGCATCGAATACACGGCTGATCAGCGGGTTGTCCGACGAGGAGCAGCTGGCATTACCTGCTTACCAAGACTTGGTCGAGCGATTCTTCAAGGCACCAGCAGATCAGATGAAATGCTATGACAATCCGTCAGTTCTGGCCGCGGCCGTGACGTTCTGTCGGAATGTCCTTGTCTGCGATGCACTGAAAGATACAGCACACCGGCCTCAGGAGTCGACAGACTGGAAGCGGAGCATTGATGCTCTGGTTAGCAACGATAAACATGCAAGACAGAAGATTCGAGGTCATCTTCAAAATATGGACACGGAGGTCCAAATCCTCTTACTTCAAGCAGCACTAGCTGGAGCATCCAAGAGCTCTGCAGAGTGTTGGGAGATTGCGTTGGAGTTGTTGTCTTTGACCTCGAACCATGTCCTGCCTCAAGTGCGCGAAATAGGTCTGGCTGCCGCATCCAGTGTGGCCTCGAAACCGGGGTTGCAGCTTCGAGCCGCTCGAGTCTTTGGAATCATCGCCTCCGCCACCGACGACGCGGAGCCACTTGCCGCCTCTGAGCTGGAGCAATGTCAGGCATGGAAATCATCAGTGGGCGAACAAGCCAACAGGATTCAAGGACATATCTTACGAGCTTGTTTCTGCTCGACGAGAAAGTCGCTAAGAGAGAAAACGACCGAGTCAAGTTCCAGTCTGCTACACCTCACACGGCTTGTATGTGACATCATTGAATCATCACCAGACAAGTCTCTAAAGGACACCGCATATCGATGCCTGCGTCAACTTGCTCTGTGCAGTCCTTCTTCGAATAAATTGCCAACAGATAATGAACTGCTCAATCCCCTGATAGCTGATGCGAAAAAGGAAAGCGAAATCGCCATCTCCGCTCTCGGACCGCTGCTAGGAATTTTGCATACCAAAGTGTCAACCTCCGATTTTGAAGCATTATTCAATCGCGTTCTTGCACTTCATGAGGTCAAACGTGCAGAGTTCCACTTTGCGCTCGGAGAGTCGCTTGCCGTGGCATGCTCTGGTTTCAGCTCATCGTCAACGATGACGGAATTTGACCTCGATGCAGACCTGCCAAGTTGGGGACCAAATGAAGAGCTGATGGCCATGATCATGGACCGAGTAGTTGAGAACTGCAAGACCACTAAACCAGCCCTGAAAAAGGCAGCGGCGATATGGCTCCTATGTCTGATCCAATATTGTGGCGAAGCGGCGCCGATAAAAACAAAGCTGCGCGAATGCCAAGCTACATTTGCTCGACTTCTCAATGACAGGGACGAGATTGTGCAAGAGACCGGCTCGAGAGGTCTCAGTCTCGTCTACGAACGCGGCGATAAGCAGCTCCGAGACGATCTCGTCCGAGATCTGGTGCAGACGTTTACTGGCAGCAATGCTAAAATGTCCGGCACGGTCAACGATGATACGCAATTGTTTGAGGCAGGCGCCCTGCCGACTGAGAAAGGGGAATCTGTCACGACATACAAGGATATCGTGCGTCTTGCCACAGAAATGGGGGATCCAAGTCTAGTGTACAAGTTTATGAATTTGGCGTCAAACAATGCCATCTGGTCCAGTCGCGCGGCGTTTGGTAGGTTTGGACTCGGCAACATCCTGGCTGAATCAAGTTACCTGGCCGAGAACAAGAAGTTCTATCCAAAGCTGTTTCGGTACCGATTTGACCCGAACCCAAATGTCCAGCGGTCGATGAACGAGATCTGGCGGGCGTTGGTCAAAGATCCTAGCGCTGTCATCAATGATAATTTCAACCTTATCATGGAAGATTTGTTGAAGAGCATCGTGTCTGGCAAAGAATGGCGTTCCAGAGAGGCTAGCTGTGCTGCAATAGCTGACCTCGTGCAAGGTCGAGAAATCGAAAGACTTGAAAAGTACCTTGACGACATCTGGAAGGTGGCGTTCAAAGTTCTGGACGATGTCAAGGAAACTGTTCGCCTAGCTGCGATGAAGTTATGCAAAACGCTCACGAGTATGTTGATCCGCAATCTTGAAGTGGGAGATGGAAACACCAAGCGCTCCGCGACGATGCTCGATCACGCCATGCCTTTCCTGATACAGCAGATGGATGGCGGAGCAGGACAAGATGTTCAGCAGTATGCCATCGTGACACTATTGGAGATTGTCAAGAAGTGTCCGCCCAAGGCTCTGCGTTCGTATGCACCGCAAATTTTGGAGACACTTGTGGTCTCGCTCAGCTCCCTCGAGCACGAAAGTATCAATTATTTGCATCTGAACGCGGACAAGTATGGCTTGACAACGGAAAAGCTTGACAAGATGAGAGTGTCGAGCATCAACGCCTCGCCCGTCACAGAAGCAATCGAGCGGTGTCTAGAGAGTATCACAATGCGGGTGGAAGCTCCCGAGCCGGCGCCAGACGCCATGGAGGGAGTAGTGTCGATGTCAAAAGCAAGCGCGAGCCCGTCACCAATGGACGACGCCATGCAAAGACTTGTTAATGCTTACCGAGCAGCAATAGGGCTGCCATCCAAAGTCGGCCTCAGCAGAGTAATGATCACTCTCGTTGTCCGCCACCCGACTGCGTTTCGGCCATATGCAGACAAGTTCATCCAACTGACGCGAAAGCACATTCTTGATCGAAACGCCACTATCAGTGTGGCGTTCAGCACCTCCCTGGGATACCTCATGAGGTTGGCCTCGGAAAAGGAGATTCATGCCACCAGCGAGTACGCTCAGAAGCTGTACTTCGAGTCACAGGAACTAGTGCACCGGTCTGTGGCGGGCGAGATCATTCAAGCGATCTCTAAAGCAGCCAACGATGTCTTCATGAATTCAGCTACGCTCTTCCTTCCCTTTGCCTTTATTGGCCGTCAAGACACCGACAAAGAGGTGAGAGAACGATTTGATATTCCGTGGAAAGAGAACATTGGCGGCGCCCGTTCGATCAACCTGTATTTGATCGAGATAGTGAGCCTGATTTCAGCACACATCAAGTCTCCACTCTGGCCTATCAAACATGCATGCTGCTTCGCTGTTGCCTCTGTGGTGTCTTCGATGGAATCCATTGAGAAGTACTCCCACCAAACTGCTGAGCTTGTTTGGGGGTTGGTCCAGGACGCACTAGACGGTAAGACCTGGGCAGGAAAAGAAAAAATCATCGAGGTGTACCCGAAGTTCGTACAGCAAGCGCAGTCACTGTGGAATGACGGCAAAGTGAGCCAGCAAATGAAGAAGATTGCAATTCGCGAAGCCAAACGCACCAATATCGCGTACCGACCGTATGCCATTGAGTCGCTGGGGGACTTTGCCTTCGTTCGAAAGGATTTGGATTTAGCCGTCGAGATGGTGCCATATCTGGCGGACACCCTGAACGAGCTAACGGACGAGGATGCGATGGACGTTGACGAAACTAGCGGCAAGACCTTCGAAAACAGGTAAGACTCCCGCTGCCCATGTGTGAGTCGTACTGTACCTCTAACGAATGAGCAGAACGGTCGCTGAAGCCAGCGCAAGCGCCATTGTTTCGTGCCTGTTCAAGATCCTCGCATCGCAGCCCAATGTCGAGGTTCTGGACCATGCTACCGAAATCATACACAAAGCTCAAGCCATGCGATCAAGCATCGTCGATTTGGCGATGTACGAAAAAGCAAAATTTTTCGTTGTGAAATGGCCGAGCCAGCAAAAGATTGATGGTGTTGACATTGAAATGAAAGGCTTTCAGAAGGAGAAGGAAAATGAAAATGCCTCAGCCACACTAGCCTCAAATTGCGCACCAGCCTCAGCAGGGAATGAAAATGATCCGGAAGTGGCCGCCAATCAGGTTGGTGAGGTTGCGTCCAGGGGTGCTTATGAGCGATTTGAGGCGCTGATCTTAACGGTGCTCTCCGCCGATGATGGTCGCCAAGTCTCCGAGACGGAAAATCTGCGCAAAGAACGTGTGGCTTTGGCCCTTGCCTTAGCTGGAAGAGGCAGCCGGCTATCTGCACCGTTAGCGGCGATCCTGGACGCTTGGTCTCAGACAGAACGGTCCAGGCCTTTACGTGAAGACATCGAGCGTGCTCGGCTGTTGACTCAGGGACGTGTCTAACTCCGCACGCAAGCTAGGGAATGGAGGAATTTTCCCTCAAACGAGCGGTGAGGAATGTATCTGTCTGTGCAGGTTTTACGAGTAGATGGTGCTCGCGAGACAGTGGGCACCTGGACAGACCTCGCCACGCTGGCCGTGACTTGCCGTGCTTGCTTAGAACGAGAGGTGCAGGTTGACAGCTGTAGGGCTGCAGCAAGTGGTGCACCGATTGACGCTTTAAGTCCTGGCAACGATAATTTCCCGAAGTCTAGAGACTCCCAGTTCAACGGACACTCTTCCTGTTGGTGCGGTGTGCAGCGGTGTGTCACTGACGATCATTGAAACGGACACTGACGGATTGGATGTGGTCATTTAGCCTGCGCTATCCGGCAGGACTTTCAGGCGGCATTGAGACAGTCAGACCATGGCCACTTATTTGTGGAGGATGTTCTTATCCGGTATGGAGTGACCCTGCAGGGTCTGCGCAACATCGAGGGCCTCGTGTTTTTGATGAATCCCCACAAAAGCCAATCTCGAACCTCGAAATGCATGAAGTTTTCAGCTCGGCTAGGGTAGGGTCGCCAGGCTCGATGAGTTTCAATCGCCGCTGTTCAAAAGGAGACTTGAAGTGACCACGCGTGAGAGCGCACGACAAAGCCTTTGCGCGGTTCCACTCTTCCGCCCGGCCCAGGGATGTAGGAGCAGAGACAACGCTGGATAAGGAGACCGTTCTCGGATCTCGAAAACGTGGCTTTCTGCTGTGGGGTTGTGCATGACGATCTGGGAGCAGGAAGGTTCCGACGGCAGGCATCTGAAGGAGCAAAGAATAATACTATGTAATAGGGGACTACTGACCAAGAGCCAACGCTGGTCGAGGAGACCAGGGTGAAAGGCGCAGGGATGGTGGCATGAAAGGATGGTGTGTGCGGAACAGAGACGCAGAGACAACTGAGAGAGTCTGAGACTAGGCAAATGAAGTGGCCAAATAGTGGAGTTCGGCTGTTTCCTCGGCCAAACAGATTTTCCGTTCCCGAAGGCCCTTTTCGAGGCCGGACCTTTCAGCGTCCCCGTTGTTCTTCTTCTACCATACCAAACCCTCCCTGGTAGATACTAAGGAGAATTCATGCCCTGGGTCTAGCTGTTCGCCGTATCCGAACGAGACTGCATCATTTTAGTCCACGCTTGGACTCTCAAGACGCATTGGATGGACCCCCCAGGTGGCACTCCAATGGCCGTGGTGGGCAAGGCCGTTGGCGCTCACCATGACATCTGACTTCCCTCAGGCTAATGGAAACCGTCTTTGCGACTTCGCACGCTATTAGCTTTCCGTCGAGTTTCATTCTGTCTTCCACTCCAGTTTCTTTTCATTCTCCTGACATCTCGTCGCTTGATCCGGTTCCAAACAAATACTACTCGCCTCCGCCGCCCTGCCAGTACCTAATTCCCGCCGCGATCGCGTGCAAATCCGTTGCGCAACGTGCTACATACCCACACCTCGAGATTGTGCGCTGGAATGGGCTGACCCTGCTGTTTTATTGCGGCGAATGCATGCGGGCCGACATGTGCCCTTGAGCGACTCTTCTCTTTTCGACATTGTACATACCAGGGAGCTCTATGCCATCCCTAACGGCAGTGGTGATGCAAGACGACAAACCGGAAGAGGCTCCGAAGAGACCGCCGTTGCTCTTGCCGGCCATTGCACCCAAGGATGAGCTTTCGTCCTCGGCGAGCTCGAGCCGCAGTGGCCAGCCAGGTCCGAGTGTCCCGCGGCGCACCCGTCTACCCCCTCGATCGCGAACCGGATGCTGGACATGTCGCAAGCGCAAAGTGAAATGTGATGAAGGGAGGCCGCAATGTGGTCAGTGTAGCCGTTTGGGACATACTTGCGATTACAGCCCTCGACTGGCTTTTCGGGACGACACTCCTCGAGTGCGGGAGCGTCTTCAGGATGTCATGGTGGTTTCCAATACAGTATGGGACTGTGAGTCTTTCAATCGTGATTGCGCAGCTTCTGCTCACTCCTTGGCAGCCAATTCGCCCTCGAGGACCGATACCAGTGCTGGCTCAGCGGTACTGGACGACTTACCGCCTTTTGCTGCATTGACAACCGACGAAGAACGAGAGAAAAAGGCAGAACGCTCCAGTCCAGGAACATACAATGTGGTCGTCAATCAGGAAAGCTTTCAGCACTTGCCAGCGTATAGCGATGATGCCGAAGTCAAGAAAGAGTTGCTTTCACCCCTGCGCCGAAGCTCTATTGCCGCCTCCATTGCGAGCAGTTCAGGGCGGGACGTTGCTGTTGAAGGCATTCCCGTGCCTGGTGATCCCAACACCGTTGTGCTACCAAGATTCGAGGACGTCGCCAGGCGCAATACCTTTAGTTCCTTCAAGGACCTACGTTCGCCAATCTCTCCCACCGCGAGACACACATTGATCAAGACCGAAGATTCGGACGAGGTTGCGATCGTGGAAGAATCAGAGTTCATACTGGACGGCCAGGGCCCGGGGCAAGATGACAAGTACATCAGGCAATTCCGGCAGGTGGTTTGGAAACAGCTCGTGCCTGCAGAGCTCGACCAGAAAGACGGAATGATGAGGTCAAGTGTCGGAGTCCTGGAAACTGCCGCAAGCATGTTCCCTCCGGTATGTCGTTGAAAAGATGCCCGAAACTGTGCTGACACATACCACAGTTACACCACGCAATGATGGCGGTCGCCGCTCTCAGTTTGGCTGCGCAAGATGGAAATTCAAGACTCGATGCATTACAGCACTATCAACAAGCCCTACCGGCTCTACAAAGCACTCTGAAAAGTCCTCATGACCTGTCATCTGACGGGGCGTTCTTGACTCATTTTTTATTGCTTGTATATGAGGTGAGATCCACCGATGGCTGCTAGAAGTGAGGACTGACATTGACTGCAGATTGCAGCAGCTGAAGACGATAACTCGAATCTATGGTCACAGCATTTGTCCACTCTTCTGCGAATTGCACTCTTGCGGCGTGATGTTTTCGGCGGAGAAAGATACCCCTTTCTTGTTTGGTGGATCTGCAACATTGATCTGGATGCATTATTCAGTGGCGTCGGTACGGGCGAATTTGTTGGGTATCTGCTAAATCACGACGGCATTCCCGACCCCAGCTTTCATCTATACCCGCTGGGTTTGGACGGCTCGAGTGTCTTGTATGCTGAGGAGCTGGAATCGTTACCGACAATCCTACAACTCGATTATGAGGTTACCATCTTGGCCGTTCGATTGGTTCTACTGGCGCGGGAGTTCCGCAATGATGCTACGTTTGCTATTGCTGATTTCATGCAGAGGGAACAAGCCACCCAGATCCGTCAGCGTCGAACTTTCGAATTTCAGGAGTCTTTGCGGCAGTTATGGCTGAATCCAGCAGTCTCAATGATAGGGCAAAACGTTCAGAATCTCCCAGAGCGGCCTAAACAACTATACGAACATGCGGCCACGCTTTACCGCGCCTCCATCATTTTCTCGCATACGACTATGTGGCCGGGGCAAAGGCTCGAGACCTCCCCGGACTACGATACTGAGATTGCCGTCGCTTCGAATCAGATCCTACAACTGGCAAGGAAAGCGCATTCCGAAGATCGTTGGCATTGCCGATACCTTGTCTTTCCGGTTTTTATGGCCGGGTTTGCCAGTACGGATGGAGCACAACGAATGCAAGCGTTAGACCTGATCCGCGCCATGGAGAAGACGAGCATCGGCCGGAATACAACCGTTACACGAAAGGCACTGGCAGCAGTGTATGAGAGCCAAAACGAGCGATTTATGAACACAGGACAAAGTCTTGATGTCGACTGGATGCAAGTCATGGCCGAGAGGAACTTGTTGGTTGTCAATTTTGGTTTCTGATCCTGAGTGACAATCCACTGCCGAATTCTTTTGTTTCCTTCTTATTTTCGTTAAGGTTCCCTGGCCAGTACAAGGATTTCAGTGGCAAAGCATATGCGGCAATATGACAAGCGTGCTCGGATGCACCGCTTCTCCCAGTTGCTGAGTTGTTCCAACCTTGGAAAGGCGTGACATGGAGTTATAACGCGATGGAATTGCTTACGGGAGGCCATACCTTATTCCAGCGTTTGATTCTTCTGCAACGGTACGCAGGAGGACATGTCCACAATGGCGCTTCTCGAAATGAACCGACAAGGACAGATGACAGACCTGAGCCTCGTCACGAAAAGCAATTTCTGCTATGGCTCGGGAGGACATGACGTGACATGACATGACGGTGTCAGACTTAACTCGACTATGTTGCACACAATGAGAAAGTCTTACGGTTGAAGGGGTTTCGTGGTAGGTGGCATCTTTCCGTCGCCACAATCGGCAGCCAAGGTTCGACAACGGTCGTGTGGATGGTATACTCTACATTTGAAGACAGCCTTATTATAATGTGACACGAGACAAAATGATGCTGGTTACTAAGTTTTGACGAACGTTAGGTCCCTTTCAAGAACAGAGCCTTGTCGGCGTCGCCGTTATGCTTCAAATGGTGTCTCGCTTGGAATTGGGTTTCCCGGGTTCGAGGGTCCGACATTCTCCAGGACAAGTCAACCATCGAAATTTTCTGTTATCGGAGACAATCTCGTGACGGTGCGGTACCACTTCGAAGTTTTTGTTATCGCTTTTTGCGCACATGTGGAAGATCCCTCGATGTTCGGTTTGAGTACAGAATCACTACAACTGGCCATAGGGCTAAGGATTCGTCCCGCCCAATGGAGTATGTCCGAGGAAATATCCAGCACTGTGATATCCAGGCCAGAAGTACAAGTGGCCACCAAGGAACCCCTGAGATCAAAGCGGATCCCAAATCCCACTCATCAATCGGTACCGGATACGTGGCGTCCAGCATTATCGGAGGGGGCCGGATGCCGGTGGCCTGGCTGTCAGCAGTCTAGCCCTTGGGCCTAACTAAGCGTCCCCTGGGTTGGGCATGATAAGGAAGCAAGGCTACCACTTGCAGCTGATATCACTCCTGGCTGTCTCAGCCTTGTGCGCCGACTGATGTGGTAGTGTATTTTGCTGTGGCTGAAGGTTCGCTCCACTGTTAATGATGGCCGGGATGACCAGCCCAACCATCTGACTATGCATGATTTGCCATAACATGACCAGGCGGGGCTCTTCTCTGCACAGCTGTCCAAGGCGTGAAACGAGGTCCATCTTGGATGCCTGTCGGGCTCTACTGGTGCCGAAGAGGCACGTACTGTTACGGTCTCGGTCACGTACATTCAGCGACCATCATACGTAGTAAGGCGGATACATTGGCCATGGTATGAGGATAGATGATCCCGTAGGAGAGACATCGGACGCCACAGTACTTTTGTTGCACGTGTGAGGCGGGAACTTCACCCTATGCAGCAATACGGTGGAGTTTGAGGTCCTAAAGCGCTTTAATTATCTTTTGATAGTACGAGTACGAGTAGCCTGCGCATCCAACAGATCTCCGACAACCTTCCATATACCCATGTCGCAAGACCAATAACTTCAAAGCACCATGACCATGTTCGCATCATGTCGGACCAGAACTATCGGAAGCCGTTGCTTTTCGCACTAGCCGGCGCCACTGTGCTCTCTGTAGCCTTCTATACGTACACCTACTATTCGACCGAGTTGCGCCTCGAACCGATCCAGCCATCATCCTTACATCGCAGCAATGCCATCCGCCGGCCTAGACATAGACGTCACTGGCGGGCTGGCATCGTCCCCCGCACTCTTGATTACGATCCAACCGAGCGAGCCATCAATAATCTGGAACGGCGAAATCAGACAGGAGAAGGCTACGGAGAATATCACAACAAGTGGTTTTTTCCGGAATCGTTAGATACCGAAGGGGCTGACTTGACTCTGTTGCCATGCAAGCTGAAGCCTATTTACGACCATCTGCTGCGACACACTTTGGTGCCTCTTTCACCATATCAACAAGACTGTCTTCGGCTGCACATCCATGGCGTTTTCACGCAGAACTTCCTCCGCGAAGAATTCCCCGAAGGCTACATCATAGGAGATGATGCCTACATCGTAGCAAGGGGTCTCGAGGTACTTGGGGTTGCTGAGGAGATTGTCTATGAGGTTGTAAAGGCCTTCGATGAGGGAGAATTCCATTTGAGTGAGGAATGGAGTCCCCTCGAGGCCCCTATAGAAAGCCCAGTACAGGTTCCGGTGCATACTGATGGCGCCACCGAAGACATGGCTCCCCAGGATGCTCTGCAGGCTTTGCGCGAGTCCGGAGGAGACGAAGAAGGAGAGAGCGAGATATCGTTCAGCAACAACGAAGATGATCCCGAGGGCAGCCAGAACATGCTTGATCTGCTCTATCACATCGCGGGCGAACAGGCACGCAAAGAAGGATACATCCATCGTGGCGTTGAGTGCAACAGCTGTGGCACCCATCCCATCCAAGGCATCCGCTACCATTGTGCGAATTGCTTCGATTTTGACCTGTGCGAAAGTTGCGAGGCTAGCTCTACACACGCCAAAAGCCACGTTTTCTTCAAAATCCGCATACCTGCGCCATCAAGAGGAAACATTAAACATGTCATCCCGTCGTGGTATCCAGGAGACGCGAATGCGTTTCCGACTTCTCTCCCTAAGAATGTATCCAAACCTTTATTGGAGCAGACAAAGATGGATCGTACGGAGATGGTCGCCCTTTACGAGCAATTCAAATGCCTCGCAGGCCATTTCTGGCCTACTGATCCTTCTGGGCTGGGAATGGCCATTGACCGAAAAGGATTCGACGCTTATTTCATTCCTTCAACGGCCGATAAACCGTCTGCTGCGAATCTGATCTATGACCGCATCTTCGCATATTACGATACAGATGATAATGGCCTCATTGGGTTCGAAGAATACATCAAAGGCCTTGCTCGCCTTCAGGACAAGTCACGATCCGCGAGACTGGAACGCATATTCCAGGGTTACGATCTTGATGCAGATGGTTATGTGGATCGGAAAGATTTTCTTCGTATGTTTCGTGCATATTACGCCCTGAGCAAAGAGTTGAGTCGCGAGATGTTCAATGCACAAGAGGATTATGGTCCCAACGAGGAGGAAGTTCGGGAAGTTGTTCATGGTAGTCAACCGATCAGTGCTGCATTCGGTGGCAGCATTCTGAACGGACACGAATCAAGGACAGGCCAAGACAAAGAGCGACAGGCGACCGGCGATCTTGAATTGTCCAATGGACCGAACGGTGTTCTTCAGCCTGACATGGAAACGCGAGGAGATCGTGCTAGGGCTATTGGCAATGTCGCGCTTGGGAATCGCACGAGAAATCATCCCTTCCGCTCATTCAGGCCTGAGCGATCAGAAGACGAGCCCGTCATGCTTCTTCCGAGTGATAGCAATTTTACACGTTCCGGAATGGAGGATGTTGATGAGGCACCTGAAGAGGAGCTCACTGGCCCTGATGCACCTCTACAAACGTACGGCTGGCCACCACCTTTGACGCCAGAGGCACGAGACATCATTACCGCTCTCGGACGCGAAGTAGCGCTCGAGGATATCACCGATCCTCTGGACAGGACCAGAGTGATATATGCCCAGGCTGAACGCCTTGATGTCGAAGCTGATCACGCCGAGGAGGCTGCCAGAACGAAGGCTGTTGAAGAAAGGTGGCGTCGGCGACAGTTTTACCTCGATGAGGAGGAAGGCATGACAAGACCGCCTGGTTACATGGAGCCAGACAGTTCCGACGATGAGAATGTTCCACCAATTCTCAAGAAAAGTCGGTGTGACGGTGCCTCGAGCCCTCGGAGACCATCTGTGCGATCCCGATCGTCATCCAAGGTGCGCTTCGATGATAGTGCCATTGACACCGACTATGAGACGCGTTCGAATGCGTCCTCTCGGAGCATTACCCTCAACGAAAGATGGGGTGGATACGAACTTGGTCAAGCCGACGCAGATATCGGCAAGGATATCCTCTATCAAGCGGTTCAACAAGGCTTCAATGAATTGTTGGATGGCTTGTTCAAGGAAAAAGAAGATGAGTGGCTTGAGGTCTGCCGGACCCGCAATAATCGTCACAAGTTCAAAAGAGAGAGAGAAGAGTACGGAAAGGTGCTTGAGGCAGCGAAAGAACGAAAAGAGGAAGCACTGAAAGAGGCCGACATGCTTAGAACCGAAGAGCTGCTCAACGGATCTTCTTCGGGCCCCGACTTGCCACAGGGCGACGTTGCCGAACCTGTTTCCACTACAATTCCTGAAACGATTATCCCTGATATTCCTGATCCCGATGATCATATAGAATTGATGTTCGGAAACGGCCTGTCGAACCACAACGACATTGCAAATGGAGCGAACCAGGAAGCCCTGTCAGAAGGATCTTATCATGACCCTACTCTTCCGCAGTTTCGACCCGATCACAATTCTGGACCAGCATCTCCTGCCCCAACGCCGCCACCCAATCCATTTGGTGGTGACTCCGTTGCTTCACGAGCACTGTACGATCTTTGGCTTCGCCATGATGCGATTGAGGCGGAAGCTGACGAGCGGAGTGGCCCCGGAAAGCTCAGTTTCCCAGAATTTCGACGAAAAATGGTTCTAGAGGACGAAGTAGGCAAAGCGCTTGGCGTCAAGGGCAAAAGCCAAGGTGAAAATGAACAACATGGGTGGGAGAGCAGTGCTGATCTTGGGAGATTGGCTTTCGTGGGTACTTGGTTGGAGATGGCGAGCTTCTAGTGAATAGCGGTGTCGGTTCCTTGCCAGCCCCGCTGACCATACGCTTGTTCGTTGGCGTTCTGCAACACCGACACCCTCACCATCTGCGCAGCATTCATATATGGAGCTTATTCCTAGTGAAGCATCGCTCCAACATTCCAGGATCTTAGCTGTACAACAGAAGCAGGACGAGTTTACGATGTTATGATTTCAAGCAAATGATACCTGAACGCATTTCCCAGCGATGTTGCATATCGGGAGGCACCCAGAGGCAAATGACTCAATAGGTACGCAATGGCAAACGTTACAAAAGTCCTCAACATCCATCCAATGTGATGAACAAGCAATTCAAACCGCTGCAGGGACCTTGACGTACAACAGCGGCGCGTGCTGTTGGGTACCCAATGTGTCTCTCTCTCCAATGCTTCCCTGCTCCCAAGGTCTTTTTATTGTACATTTCCAAGCCATCGCTGGGTCAAAATACATGTTTGTGAGAATGTTTTGCTCCTGGACCCCATACAACCGTCCTATCACATCATTTGTCAAGACGTTGGCTGACTTGACACGTTGGTATGTTGCGGGATCATCGAACATGATGTCAAAAGTCAGCTCAAAAGGTCCGCTGTTCTTGGATCGGACGATCTTGGCTATATCCATCATCAACGCCTCTCCTTGAGGCACCACTTTCGGCACCAGCGGTTTCGGTCGGCCATTGGTGAATTCTTCCAGCTCTTCCGCAGAGAAGTGTATCGGTTCAGGAGTGGCAGGCTCGCTGCAGTCAATGACGACACAGCTTACTGGGAACATACTGAGCTCCTCCCCAGGATGTAGATCGATGAGGTGGTAGATGTTCCACCGGAACACTTCACCTGCATCCTGCTCGTGGGGCGACAATGGTGAAGCAAAGTTGCCGGCCGTTGCCATTTGTCCTTCGTATGGCATATGCAGGATAGATGCTCGCACGTTGTTGGCGATTGCGTGTGACTTCTCTTTCGTGGGAGCAACAACCTCGCCCAGGACTCCGATCTCATGAGCAGTGACCTTGGATTGCTCGAATGGACCCATGACCGCAGTTTTGCCGTACACTTGGAAATTAAGTTGGCAATGCTCGTCTTGGTCCAGCTCGGGAAACATCTTTTGCGTGTACGCTCGAGCCCTTTCCAGGAACTCGTCGATTTGTGCAATCAAGATTGGGTCTCGAATACCGCCGATAAAGATTGTCCGGTGTCCTAACCTTTCCACGCCTTCCAACTTAACTTGATAGATGGGCGTCGGCATGAAACTGGCTCCAGAAACTCGGACCGTCCTACCATCTGCAAGCAGTTCGTACTGAGCGGAATCCAAGTGCACGACACCACCTGGACCAGGGTGTCTGTCTGGTCGGGTCTTCTCATAGAGGGTGTGAGCGGCGACAGAGACGGGTGTACATGCTTCGAACGGGGACACTGGTGTCAAGTCGAACCACGATTGTCTGACTGTGGCGACCATGGTCCGCCCTTTGGGCACAGCACAGAATGCACCACATTCCATGATCTTTCCCAGGTACCATGCAACCCCAGGATCGACACCACCGCTGAGGCAGAATCCAGCGAAGGGCGAGGGGTCATAGGACCGGCCAGAAAGGATGATATCGGGGTCTGTCTGCAAGGCAGCGATGAACGGCTCGGCACCCATCTGGCCGACGATATCGACAGCTCTGTCCACATCCATTTCCGTGAGGTCGGCCACCGGACCACAAGGATGAGCTTGACCTTTGAGGATTCTAGCTTTTATTGTTTCCCGGCTGATGTCGGTCGTGATTGTGGCGACCTTGAACGAGAAATTATGAGCACTCGCGATCTCCTTGATGATATCCAGCATTTCGTCAACGTGCTTGTTGCTGCCATCGCCCCCTGCCGAGGAAATCAATACTTTGATCCGCCGGTAAAAGCAGGCTTCCAGCATATGTGTCGGATCCCTGATGTAGCTTTCTCTCCCGCAAGTCATCTTATTCATTTCCAACTTGTATGGCCCGCCGTCAGTGCTGCCTGCATCAACGATGATTGCAGCGGGCTTGAACTTGTCGACGCCCAGCCAGAAGTGGTCGCTTCTGAACCCATGTCCCAGGATCGCACATGGTGTCAAGATCCTGAACTCGGAGTAGTCGAGACTGCCCATGATGAATTGTTGTTGTCACTAGTATTCCTTAGTGGTGCAAGACCGAATCATGAGAGAATCTCATCGATCTATGGTCGTATATATGACTGCAATTCAGCCTGGGCCTCGGCTTCGAGCAAGTTTCGTAGGGTCAGAAGCACTTTCGGTATCATAGCGACCCAGTCCTGTGGGTAGCGAGCGACAAGGGCCGAGCGAGGTGGACACCCTATCAACAAGTTATTTACTCAAGGTGGTTCTCGGACACGCAAAGTCTGAAGGGGCATTTTCTTTGTTTGCTAACCATTGATGTATCACGACATATCCGGTCTTGATTTGCAAGTAGGCACCACTTTACCGCCCTGGGCGTTGCTTTCATGAGTTGCCAGTGCTCTCTGTGCGCATTATCCGTTGAATTTCGAGGTAATGCATACCAAGTTAGATACTATAAACCGGCGGCAGGTATGCCGAGTCTCAAGAATATTCTTCCCCCTTGACGTGAATGCCTCAAGATGTCAACAACAACTTCTACTGAACCAGGAACACGAATTGACGGACACCACGGTCTCAATCTTTGTATTGCAGCAGTGGGTTCCATGCATCACCGACTCTCATCAAGTCTCGGCTTAGAAGTACTCTCACCGCCATTCTAGTCGGGCATACCAGCGGCCTAGGCCCTCAGTGTCCCGGTACTTCGACCCTTGAGCCATCAGCTTGGAGTCCTACGAATCGAGCCAATCCGATTTCTCTCTCAGATCAGGCACAAGCATCAAGGCCACTGAGTTGATGTTGGATGTTGACCATGAAACGCGAGCGCGAGCGAATGAGTAGGGTCAATCCACGAGACTTGGTTCGAAGATGTGACTGGTCGAACTAGGCCATCCCTGAAGTTGAGCAATCAGTCCCGTGCACCCATCCTGAAGAGCATATAGGGCTTTCGCCATCTTGCTGACCTCGTGGCCGAATCTTATATACATTCAATATGTCTTGTCCTACAAATTCCCCTTCCACGTCCATAGCTGGTCTGTTCGGTATCGCGTTGGACGATACTGACCTTCGAAAATGACACCACCAACATATACTTTGCTATCGCTTCGCCGTTCTCGCAATTTGAAACGTCAAAAATGGTCAACAGGCGTCGGCTTCTCTCGCATGGCTAGTAACAACTGTACCTGTGGCAAACAACATCGGAGGCAAATGTCCCTATGTTTGGTCCTCCCACGGCATCGATTCGGATCTAGTCGATTCAATACCCTGATCCTGCTCTTTCTTCGACTCTTCTACCATGCAGGCTCTTTCGATACTGCCCCAGTTATTGCTCCTGAGGGCACTTCTATTCAGAAAATGCTGAATGCATCGGCCCTGCAAGCCTTCGAGGTGGCAGTGCCGGCGAATGCTCAAAAAGCCAGTGACCAAAGTCTACCCGACCTGCTCAGATGTTACCAGAAACTCTCCACCAGGGAGTGGCTCCACACGTTATCGGACCAAGCATCTGAATACAGGAATTGGAAGGTCTGCTCCATCACGTGGATCAAGGCGCTCGCCTCTCCCTTCTCTCATGAGTTTCTTCAATTCATTGCCGAGGACGCCGTGACCGGTCGACGCAGTCGCATTGCTGCTGGTCGCGAAGAGAACGGGGATTGGGTCCTGGTAGGCTGGGATTGGGCTTCTGGGCAGACGCCTTCGGATCATTACAAATTGCCGCTCCCTTTGCTCAGCCTGGAATTCGACGATCCGCAAAGACGGCCCAACATGTATGACCTGTCTCAGGTTCTAGCCGCGATAACCGAACGACAGCCTTACTACAGGTTCCGGAGAGAGATGTGTTGGTGGTACGCCGAGACTGCGCTGGATGATATGAAGACAAAGTATGGTGGCTCGATCAAGGAATGGCAATGGTCCAGATATAGGTATTCTTTCATTGTCAAGACGAGCTTGATTCGACGGAAGGTTCTGACAAAACATGCTGAGGCTTTCAAGACGCAATTGGCGGAGGAGCTGAATTACTGAGGTGCACATATACCTGACATCGTACCGTATTTGAGTAAAAATCCAGAAGTGCCTAAAGTGATGTTGGTCCTTGGACTGCCGGATAGCGAAGCACGTTCAGCATATCTACTGTCGCGCGATCACAACATTTGATACTCTGTAGTACTTCGATTAGACCCTACGAAGCAGACAAGGCTGAGACGCAGCCTCGTGGACTCTAGTGGCTGTGGTACTAGGCTGCGCACCGGAAATTAGCCGATGCCTCGTCATCTCTGTCCATGCCACTTTCAATGCAGCTACAAACACACAATACAACCTCTACCAACTCTCTCCTCTGTAACCATACCGCCTCCTCCAGCGCGATAGTAGAGAGCTATACTCCTATCGCTAAGCACTTCCATCGCCATGTCCGGCCCCGAAGTCCATCACCTCTTCCACGCTCCCATCGCCGACCACTCGTTCTCCGCCGACCGCCAGACCGTCGCTGTAGCAAAGGAGAACATTGTCGAACTCTACGGCAAATCAGGCAACAAATTCGTGTTGAAAGATGAGCTCAAAGGCCATGACAAGACCGTCACGGGTGTCGATATCGCGCCCAACAGCGGCATGATCGTGACCTGTTCTCAAGGTAAGCCCGTGCAGCGTCGCACACCTTCTGCGCGGGGCATTCCCGCTGACACCTACAGATCGAAACGCCTACGTTTGGGAACCCTCGCCGTCAGGCTGGAAACCCACGCTGGTCCTCCTCCGCATCAACCGAGCCGCCACGTTCGTCCGCTGGTCGCCCTCGGAGAAGAAATTCGCCGTCGGCTCCGGCGCACGGCTCATTGCAGTCTGCTACTTTGAAGAGGAAAACGACTGGTGGGTCTCGAAACACCTGAAAAAGCCGATCCGCAGCACCGTGACAACTCTGGCGTGGCACCCAAACAGTGTGCTCTTGGCCGCCGGGTCGACCGACTCCCACGCCCGCGTGTTCTCGGGCTTCATCAAGGGCATCGACGAGCGTCCCGAGCCCAGCGTATGGGGCGAGCGGCTGCCCTTCAACACCGTGTGCGGCGAGTACCTCAATGATTCGGCGGGATGGGTGCACGCCGTGTCGTTCAGCCCGAGCGGTGACGCCTTGGCCTTTGCGGCGCACGACAGCAGCATTACTGTCGTCTACCCGAGTGGTCCGGACAGCCCGCCTAAGGCGATGCTGAGTATCTCGATGCAGACGTTGCCGTATACAAGCTTGATCTGGAACGGCGAGAGCGAGATCATTGCTGCCGGGTACGATTGCGAGGCGTTCAGATTCCGTGGGAGTGAGGCCGGCTGGGAAATGGTGGGCAGTGTCGAGGCCAAGACCCGGCCGGGCATGGGCAGCGGCGCAAGGGAAGAGTCCGCCTTGCACATGTTCAGACAGATGGATCTGAAGGGGAAGGTCAAGGACGATACGCAGCTCAATACCACGCATCAGAATACCATCAATACGCTCCGTGTGTATGAAGGGTCCGCCGCGGGTGTGAGGAAGTTTAGTACGAGTGGTGTCGATGGAAGGATCGTTGTATGGACCATCTAGATGGCATCATGGCAAGAATTCCGGCACACAGAATAGGAAGCCAAAAGTCAACTACTGGAAACCGCGGCCGGTCAGAAATGGAACCTCCCAATGGCTTACGAAAAGGGAAAAGGATGAGACTTCGGTTTGTGTTAGTTCAAGATGCACTACCGAACTGCCAGGTAATGGTCGACATTTTCGGGCTTCTGTCTCTCTTGCAGAGACTTCAGTATATCCGTCAGGCACTCCTTTCTTCCTTGGTCAAGTCCATAATTACCTCATCGTCTCCAGTCTCTGTCTGACTGCCCACCGTTGCCTCAGAATCGGAGTCACCCTCCTGCATCAACTGGTATGCCTCCTCTTGTTTGACCTGGACATCGGTCGGAAAGGGGTGCGCAGCCTCGTGCTCCTTCAACAGGTATTCCTCCTCTTCAATTTCGATGACGGAGCTGTCGCACGCACGCACATCTGCTCCCGGCAAGTCATTCACTGAAGTCCCGCCTCGTACACACCTCTGCTCGTACGCTTCACCCATCGAGGCGTCCCGTCCAGTCGTGCTCCCACCCACGGTCTCAGCATCAATAGCCCTCATCCTCACCGCAAACTCGACCTGTAATCTCTTCAACCACGCGGTGAGATTCCTTGGTTCGGTTTCACCACTCGCGCAACTCTCCCTGGCTTGAACAAGCTGCTCACGCAGATTCAACAGCAACTTCCTCCGTCTCGCCAGTGCCGTAGCCTGTGGATCTCGTCTCCGCGCCTCATTCCGCTCATGCAGCATCCTCGACACACCCTCGGCGACCTCGACCACCTGCCCAGGTAGACCGATGACCTTCGCCAGCGCCAGGCCGTAGAACTTCTCCTCCTCGTACCCGTCCGAGATCTTGTAGCGCATCTTCATCTTGGAATAATCATCGCTGATATCCACGGCAAGATGCAGATTGACTACACCTGCACGCTCGGCCAAGATTCGCGGTAGATCTCGAAAATGCGTAACGAACCACACCAGCGCCTTGGACTCGATCAACGCCTCGGCAATAGCAATGGCGATCGCCAATCCGTCCGTCGTGCTCGTCCCGCGCCCGAGCTCGTCGATAATGACGAGACTGTGCTCAGAGATGTTGTGCAGAATGAACGCCATCGCCCGCATCTCGCTGGCGAAAGTAGACACGTTGGCTTCGATGCTGTCGTCCGTCGACACGCGCGCGAAGAGCTGCCGCGTGATCGGGAACGACGCGTAGCTGGCCGGCACGAAGCTGCCGATCAGCGCCATGATAGTGGACAGCGCAATGCTGCGGATATATGTGCTCTTCCCGCTCATGTTGCAGCCCGTGATGATCTGGAAGCGGTTCTGCTGCGTGGCGTAGACATCGTTGGGGACGAAGCGTTCGGCCTGGAGTTTCTCGCGCAGCGGGTGCCGCCCGGCTTTGATGGCCAGAGTATCCGTGATCTCTGGTCTGACGTAGTTATTGAGGATTGCTAGTTGGGCGAGAGAGGCGAGCATGTCGAGCAGGGCAATGGACTCGCTGATTTTGAAGAGTGGGTGGATCTTGGAACGGACGGCGTCGATGAGTCCCTGCACCGCGCGGTCGCCGAGGGTGATCACGTCGGCGTGCGCGTTGCGGATCTTTTGGTTCATTTTGACGAGTTCGAGGGTTTGGCATTCAATGAATTTGGACCGCCGGTAGGTGTTGATGAAGATGGGCGGCAGCGAACTATTCTCGAGGTCTGGCCCGTAGACACGCAGGTAGTATTGGCGAGTGGTGTCGAATTTCAGGTCGATGGAAAGTTCGTGGTTGTCTAGGGCTTGTTAAGTTGTGCGTGAGCTGAGTGGGGGACTTGGGCCAGGGTTTTACTGTTGAGTTGCTCGACCATCTGGAAGACGTCGTCGTTGATCTCCTTGTATGTTTGGCGGGCAACGTCGAGGAAGCCATTGACGCCGGCCTCGCATATGTTAGCTTGCAAGTGGAATCCAACGGATAGTAGCTTACTCGTATGGCATAAACTCGTTGGTTGCGTAGATCTGTCGGCTTGGTGGAGTAGTGTACATCCTCGTTGAGAGTTTCCCGAATAAGCGTTTCGATTTCTGCATAGTCTTCTGGTCTGCACAGCTGCAGATGCAGTGTGAGAATAATCTTTTGCATGGCTTCGACATACTGACCTGATGAATCATCTGCAGATCATCGCTGCTGCTGCCTGCAAGCGCCTGCCAGATGGGCTTGATAGACTCCACGAAAGTCTTCAGCATGAGGACTTGGTTGACTGATTGTTCCATGTATTGAACGTCAGGCTTTGTTGACATGACAACGAGCTAGAGAGGTTAGTTTTATGATCGGCTTTCACACGAGCGATTACAGACAGCTGCAAGAACGCGATCACTGTCCACGAAGGATTTCAGAGCTACTGCCAGTCAGAAAATTCTTCCTCTCGGAAGGTGGTTGTACCAGCTCGGATAGCAGACAGCATGTACTCCTTTGTTGTCAATTCTTCGAGGGCATCCTGTCTCTTTTGGATCTTGTCCACATCTGTAGATGGTTGGAGGACATTGTTTCGGAGAAAACGAGCACCCATTGGTGTCAAGGTTTCATTCAACAAACCGAGGAGACACTCTCGAGACTTCGCGTTCTGCAGATTTTGGATCAATTCAAGAGACGCAATTGTAGAAAGGTCGATCATCATAGAACCTTCTGAGGGCTCAAATCGGATCCTCAATGTCTGTGCAGCAAATGTCTTTCCCAGGCCCAGCTCAATATATTTCATAACCTGCCATCGTTAGTTTCCTTGGGGAAGGTCACGAGCTCGACCTACTGCTGAAAAGCAGCATGTTGCTAAGTAGTTCCCTCTGAGTGCCAGCTTTAAAGATTCAAGATCATCTGGGAAAGCAAGATATTGAACGTAGTCATGTCCACTGCTCTCCGACCAATACTTCCGGTCAATGTCTGTCATCAAAATACCATAGTCATCGACTTCAAGATTTTCAGACACAATCGAAACAAGCTTCGAATCTGCAGCATTGGACATGTAAAGAATTTCGCAAGGAGAAAAGACTTTGATTTTATGACAGGTTCGCGCATATGTTGGGGTATCGGGGAACTGGCAAACAACTACCTCCGAGGTAGAAAAATTGACAAATGAAAGGCCAACAGTAGGAGATATTCCACGAGATTCAGCAATGGCACAAATGGTTTCATCGTCGGCAGCAGAGGTCGGTGCTGCTGTCTTGGAGCGTGACCTGCCGTTTGATCTGCCTGTCGGCCTGCTGTTGGCCCTGCTGCTGAGGTGAGAGGTTGTTGACATTGCTCGAGAGGCTATGGCCACCTTGCGAGCATGTGCCCGACGATTTGCAGGACCTGGAAGAAGGAAAGGAAGATGCATTGTCGTCAAGAAACACTAAATCTAGGTGAACAGGCTCAGGAAGGTCTGCCGAGCGTCTCCCCGCACGAGGCTGGTGAGGCTGGTGAGGCTGAGCCATCCATTAAAATTTTTGGTAGACTGCGTCTTCGAGGCGACGGAATCAGCACAAAGGAGTGAGAGATTTGTACTGCTATGGCGACTGTCGTTCCCCCGCCAAGTAAGCGGCAAAAGATTGCTGCTCTCGAGAAAGCAGAAAAAGCTGCTGAAGATGCCAGAATACCGGACGACTTGGGCAGCGTAAGGGTGCAGTTCGTCGACCAGAGCACCGGCAAGACAACCGGCCCAGTGGTTGCGGTCCCTGTCAGAGATGCGACTGTCAAGAATCTAGAGACATTGCTCAACACGATACAAGGAAATGTACACTCAAAAACCTCTATCTCGCTTCCATGACCGTGTCTGACTTCTGCGTAGGAACCCGATGAACGACTACCATACCGCTTCTTCTTCCGCAACGATCGCGCCCCCACGGACAATGAGTCCAACATATTGGACGTCCAAAATGACTTGTACAATTCGGTTTTAAGGCCTGGCTTCAAGACCACCGAGGACAATATTGTCCTCCAATTCATTCCGCAAGCTGTCTTCCGCGTAAGGGCAGTCACACGCTGTTCAGCCTCGATATCAGGACACGGCGAAGCGATTTTGGCAACAGCGTTCTCACCAGAGACGTCTTCTAGAATGGCGACTGGAAGCGGCGACAACACCGCACGGATATGGGACTGCGACACCGGCACACCAATGCACACATTGAAGGGACATACCAGTTGGGTTCTGGCAGTATCATGGTCGCCCGATGGGAAGATCCTCGCGACGGGTAGCATGGACAATACAGCGCGCCTTTGGGACCCCAAGACAGGGGAGGCCCTCGGTGGACCATTGAAAGGCCATACGAAATGGATTACAAGTCTGACATGGGAACCATATCACAATCAAGCACCAGGGAAGCCTCGACTGGCATCTGCCTCAAAAGACGGCACGGTCAGAATATGGGACGTTCCATTGCGCCGGGTCGAGCAGACACTGTCCGGACATAAAGGGTCCGTGACGTGCGTGCGATGGGGCGGATTCAATAGGGTCTTCACGTCCTCGCAGGACAAGACAATCAAGATATGGAATTCCAAGACGTGGAATTGCTTGCATACATTATCTACGCATACGCATTGGGTGAATCATCTGGCGCTGTCCACCGATTTTGTGCTCCGGACGGCCTTTCATGATCATACGGGCAAAGTACCCGACACGGTCGAGGAAAAGATCAAGAAAGCCAAGGCACGGTTTGAAGAGGCTGCACGGCAGGAAGGGCAGTTAGTTGAGAAGCTGATATCTGCATCGGACGACAACACTATTTTCCTGTGGGACCCGTCTGCGATTTCGGGCGATTCGAATGCGTCAGTCAAGCCGATTGCGAGGTTGCTGGGTCATCAAAAGCAGGTGCTGCATGTATCCTTTTCACCGGATGGGCTGTATATTGCGTCCGCGTCGTTTGACAACAGTGTGAAACTGTGGAATGCGAGGGACGGGAAATTCCTAGCGACGTTGCGCGCGCATGTTGGAGCCGTGTATATGGTGGCTTGGTCGAGCGACTCCAGGTTGTTGGCGAGTGCCTCAAAGGACACTACGGTCAAAGTATGGGATGTGCGGACGGGGAAATTGAAGGAAGACCTCCCTGGCCACAAAGATGAAGTCTTTGCTTTGGATTGGAGTCAGGATGGGAAATGTGTGGCTAGTGGTGGGAAGGATAAAGTGGTGAAGCTGTGGAAGCATTGATGAGCTCTGCGTATGAAAGGGCAGACAACAGCTTTTATTTCGCCTTCACGAGATCATGGCGGCCAATAGAGGCGTTCTGGTGGCTGCTTTCGTGGGACTATGGTCTTTCTGATACCCGAAACACGGTTGGATGAATGAATGTCAGCAAAACTGCTTTTGAGCCAAAATCATATTTACTTTCGAATGCAATGGATTTGTATGTCTTCGTTGGTACAAACAACAGCGACGCATCCGTCCACACACTGGAGATCATCACCTTGCAAAACAAAAACCACGGTCCTCCGTTTCCCCTGGTCTTTTTAACGCCTGATTCTGCCTGCCGCAGGCGGATTGTACACAATCTTTCGCGTCTTGATCGTAGACCACTTGTAGCGTTTAAGCCACCCACTCAAAGCGAGCAGAGCCGTGCCTATTATCATAACCTTGACACCCATCTTCTTTCGGTCGTCCATTTCTGGTTCAGCGGTCCAGTTCAAAAATTCGACCACGTCCTTAGCCATTTGTGAGCTGGTGGCTGGTGTGCCATCTTCGTACTCAACGAGGCCGTCGTAGAGGACACGGGCCATAGCAATACCAGTACCAGGGAAGTAGGGGTTGAAGTTCAGGCCGGACTGGACAGTGGCGCCGGCGGGTGGCTCCTCGGGATAACCAGTCAACAAGCTGAAGATGTAGTTGCAGCCACCGTGTCGAGCCTTGACCATGAGCGATAGATCTGGGGGCAGAGCACCGTTGTTGGCAGCACGAGCGGCTTCGTCATTCTTGTATGGTGATGGAAGGTAATCTGACAATTTCCCAGGTCGCTTCTCGATCTCACCCTCGTCATTGGGTTCAGTATCATATTCATTCTCTTCGGCCAGCGCTTTAGCTTCATCGACTGTCATGAATGTGCCAACTAGAGTCCGGTATGGGATACGCTTGAGCGAGTGGCAGGCGGCGCAAACTTCTCGATAAACTTGGAAACCTCTTCGCAAACTGTGAAATTGTCAATACATGCTCCTTCTCTTCGCTGATGATTTTTTCAGATGCTTACGCCGCGTGATCGAAGGTTTTGTTCCATTTCGCGTGCTCCCACGGGTATTGCGTCGGGTGCAGACTGGCTCGTTGTTAGCCACCCAATGCTTCAGAATCAATTTTCCAAAGCTCACCCTTCTTCCGCCGGCGTCATGGCGTAGACATCTTGTCCGAAAAGATGGTAATACCAAGCGACTGAGCCAAGGGCAGCTACTGTTGCTGCAGAGGCACCTGCTGTGATGTAGAAGGGAGAAGAGGCGGATTCGGAAGAACTAGAGGAGGCGGCACGCTACAATCTTCAGTTAGTGCCTGGGCGGTAGAAAGCGAACGTTTTGCACTCCAGAGGATATTGAGGGCAACTGACAGTGGTTGTTCTGCGGACAACGGTTCGTGCAGCGGCCCTCAATGGAGCTGTGCGGATTGCCGACGTGGCCAGCATCATGTCTCAAACCCAGGCGCACGCCCTCGACAGATGATGGACTCGTCGTGCAATTGAGGGAAGAAGTGGGAGAGGCCTGACTGTCGGGCGGCAAAAGAGTGTGGGTGGTGTCGATTGTGGTGTCTTTGAGAGGAATTGAGAAGCTTTGAAGCTCGATTTCCCTACGCTTTAATGGTTGGCCTCTGATTGGCTACAGGTGAGAAATGCCCTAACCCAAAATGGGAACAGACTCGAGGTTTGGTCAAGATCTTGGATGCAAGTTGTCGCTCTCACAGTATCGCAGTCCATCACTCGTCCCTCAATCCCTGAATGTTGCCACCTTCTTCTATCGTCGTCGATCTCGGCGATGTCGCTGAATGCTTCCAAAGATGTATCTTGGAATGACCAATTCAGAAGTACCAATCAGCGCAACATCAAAGTCCAGGTCGTCATCTCGGTCGTCTTTGGCCTGAGCGCATTCCTCTCATTCTGCGTATGCCGTCATTTCCTCCAGCGACATCGACGATGCTAACGGAATTAGGTGCTTCGACCAAAATGGACCAGCCTATATCACGCCCGCAAGAAACAGTCTGACGCAGCCTCACGTCTCCCAGAGCTGCCTAAGACGCTGTTCGGATGGATTCCTGTCCTGTACAAGATCTCTCAAGAGGAGGTCCTCGTGTCGGCTGGCCTTGATGCCTATGCCTTCTTGGCCTTCTTTCGATATGCTATCAAATATCTCTCGATCACCCTCTTCTTTTCCCTGACCATTATTCTGCCTGTCAACTACAAATTCACGGGTCAACCGCTTTTCCCCAATTCTCCTGTCAACGGAACCGATCCAGACCATGATCATAATTCCACTTTCGCATTCGATCCGAACAACCCGAAGAAGGGTGTCATTGAGAAAGACAATAGCTATCTGTGGATGTACACTGTATTCGTGTACTTCTTTACGTTCGTTGCCTTGTACCTTTTGACCCAAGAGACGAAGAACATTATACGCGTCAGACAAGCATATTTGGGTACTCAAGCCACTATCACCGACCGGACGCTCCGCTTGTCAGGAATTCCAGCGGACCTGCGGTCGGAAGACGCCATCAAGGACTTCATTGAGGGACTGGGGATTGGAAAAGTCGACAGTGTCATGTTGTGTCGAAATTGGCAGACTCTAGATAACCTCATGTCCAAGAGAATGGCATGCTTGCGCAAACTCGAAGAGTCATGGACAGTCTACCTCGGACATCATCACTCCTTGCGCCATTCACGAGCTCGACAACGACAGCGCGATCAAATCGGTGATGTGGAAGAAAACGGTGCTCTTCTTTCCAGATCAGAAATGGAGCAAGCCCATGCAATGCCAGCCGATAGGCCACGCCCCACAATCAAGCTACGATACGGTCTATTCAATATGTACAGCAAGAAGATCGACGCAATTGACTATTATGAGGAGAAGCTGCGCATGTTGGATGAAAGGGTACACGCCTTGAGGACGGCCGAATTCAAGCCCACACCCCTTGCTTTCGTGACAATGGAATCGACTGCAGCTTGTCAAATGGCTATCCAAGCAATTTTGGATCCTAAACCTGGACAGCTTCTGGCTAGCTCGGCTCCGCCACCCGCAGACGTCGTTTGGAAGAATACCTACCTCTCACGAAACCACCGGATCATGCGGTCCTGGTCCATCATGATTCTCATCGGCATTCTCACCATATTCTGGGCCGCCGTTGTTGCTCCGCTGGCCGGTTTGCTCAGTATCGAAGTGATCGATAAAGTGCTACCCGGTCTTGCAGCAGCACTTGAGGAGCATGAGATCGTCCGCTCCCTTGTACAGACGGGTCTTCCGACATTGCTCTTCTCTTTGTTAGCATTGGCGGTACCATACCTGTATGATTGGTTGGCGAATCAACAGGGTATGACTTCTCAAGGGGATGTTGAGCTGTCCATCATCTCCAAGAACTTCTTCTTCACCTTCTTCAATCTTTTCATTGTGTTCACAATTTGGGGTTCGGCCACCAACTTCTACGAATTCTGGCAAGACTTGCGAGACATTCTGCGCAACACTGCAGGAATTGCGTATGCTATTGCGAAGGCCCTGGAACAGCTGTCTCCCTTCTATGTCAACTTGATCATTCTTCAAGGGCTGGGTCTTTTTCCTTTCCGGCTGCTCGAAGTTGGCTCAGTGGCTCTATATCCATTCTACCTCATTGGTGCGAAGACACCGCGCGACTACGCCGAGTTGGCTAAGCCACCGATTTTCAGCTACGGCTTCTATCTGCCACAGACAATGCTCATCTTCATCATTTGCATTGTGTACAGCGTCCTACCTTCCTCTTGGTTGATCACCTTGTTCGGCCTGGTTTACTTCTGCATCGGCGGTTTCATCCACAAGTACCAGCTGCTCTATGCCATGGAACATCGCCAACATTCGACGGGTCAGGCGTGGCCGATGATTTGCAATCGTATCATCACCGGCTTGATACTCTTCCAGCTTGCAATGACCGCGACTTTGGCACTTCGAGGCGCCCTGACTGCTTCCTTGTTTCTGGCACCAGTGCTTTTCATCACAATTTGGTACACCGCGTACTTTCAGCGGACATACGTGCCGCTCATGAAATTCATTGCACTACGCAGTATTGACCGGCAAAGCTTTCCAGAGCTTCCTACGCCCTCGGAGTCTCCGTGGGACAGAGATACTGACTACGGCCGCACTGTCGACACTGACCCTCAGACCGGCCTTCGTTATATCAATCCCAACCTAGTGCAGCCCCTGGAGACGTTATGGATCAGGAAGCCGGGCCATGGGGTCCGTCCACCGGATCAAGCGTGATGTTTCTACCATGACTATTGTTAAAGAGCAGTTCGAGCATAGCTGGTGGAGCTACTGAATTTTGTTTCGCAATCGAGATACCCTGTACAATTTCGTCGCTCTTCATCTGCATTCCCGGAAGCAGTTACCATAGTGTACCCATGAAGAGATTCCCTGTGGTGCGCCCCTTGTCGGAGTTCCGGACCACAATCATGCCAACTATGCTCAATGCTTTATCCGCATGGAACACAACGACTTTTGCTTGATTCTTGACCTGCGCCGTGGTCAACGCGCGCGGTTCCCACTAAGCGATCTGAGAAGTCCTTGCCATTTTCGAGGCTTTATTGATGATGATTGTTGAACGCAGTTGCGACCAGAGACCGTCAACTGTTACAATATTGTTAACTCTGAATCTTCCGGAACATTCCTTTTCTCACCTTCATTCCTATTCACAATCAATATCGCACACCTTTATTCACCCCTCGCTTCTATATATTAGTAAACAGTCTGCTAATCGTCAACCTGGCTTTCGAGATCCTTGTGTCTCGAGGCATCGCCCCAGTCCACGGCACCAGCATGTTTCACATCGCTAGCCAGTCTTACATGCATCGTGTTCACCCTCTAACCTACACTTTTCCAGACGACACATCATGCCGGTGCCAGCATCAGGATGTATCAGCTCGACACTCTTTTTTATCCACCGGTCTTAGACAGGAGGGCTTTCGGCATTTCCTCTCCACCAAACGATCACAAATCGACGTCCAGGAGGCATCGGCAAGGACTAATCATCCTAGAAATGGCAAGATAAACATGATGGACGGTGCATTTGATAGCACGGATGAAGGGTCCTCCTCAATCTTGAGGCGTTCCTCCAGCTTTGTGGCTCCGAACACACAACCTGCCCGACTTTCGCGAGTACGGTTCCTGTCCGATGAGGATCTGAGGTCAAAGCAAAACTCCACTTCCTATCGAGGAGGGAACCCTTTCTCAAACCCTTTCACAGACGAGATGACTTCAGTATCGAGAAGGACTTCCAGCTCATCAGATACAACCACTTACCTCCGTCCGAATGCATTTGCCGGACATCGAGACACATTGGCTCGCTTACCTCGTTACGCCTTTATCCATGACCATGATGACAACGAACTTGCTTCGAGGGTCTTATCACTTTCAACAGACAGGGCGTTATTTCCAGTTTCTCGGGTCAAGGTCCCATTGGCTCACAGCGACACTTTTCTTCCTGAACCTATCGTCAATGCAGTGCTGGAGCTTTTGTCTTTCGAGGATTACAAAGCTCTACGTCTCGTATGCCGGCAATGGAACGTCAGCATTCCACTGCCTTGTTTTCCAGCCGTCTTTCGCCTTCCAAGAGAGATCCTACAACAAGTCTACTCATACCTCTCACTGTGTGACTTTGATGCTGCTCGCCACACATCCCGAGCTTGGTATCTGGCCAGCCTGGATTGGAAAGTCCAAGAACCAATAGCCAGATCCAGTGGTATTCGAAGTGCAGTGGACGCGGACATCCAGCGGCAAAAGGACTCTTTGGCCGACAGACGGAGTATCGGCAGCGTGTCCGGGCCATTCGATGATGACTACGACATCAACAAGGAGTGGATATGTTCGAAAAGACTGGCCACAGAAAGCAGGCTTTCACCGGACTGGGCCGGGCTTTCGCTTTCTGGCGGCTACGGATCGTTCACCAGATTATCGATCGTGGAAGAGGTCGATTTTTCGAAGATCACTGCGCAAGACGCACCCTCCAGGAGCTCCAGGTCCATGGTTTCAGCTTGTGGCAGATTCGTTCTCGTAGTCTGTGGTGGAGACATTACGTTGTACAGCTTGTCTAATCCAGAAAATTCCATCGTGCCAGTCGTCCGCCTTTCTGCAGGCATTGAGGTATTGAAAGTCAGCATGGATACCAGCTCCGAGAGGTATTCGGTTGCAGCATTGCTTTCAGGTCGTCTCGGCATGCTCTGGGACTTACAAGGAACTCCATTGCAGACACGATATCGCACCAACTCTGGCGAACCAATGAATCTGGGGATGCAAACAACTATCCAAGACTCGGCCATTCACTCTTATGCAAGGCCTCTCGTTGCGAATCTGCCAATTAGCTCTCAGGAACTCCTCGCCGCGGAAGCAAATCACGACGACTCATCACCACCTTCGATGCTCGGTGGGACATCTTCTCCCGGTTTCGTCCCAAGTCCACCATCCTTGTAGCACGAGTATTCAGGACAGGATCCCTCAGCAGACAGCGACCCCATTGAAGATGATGAGAGTGGGCCTGTAAAACTTGGTATACCTATCGAGACACGCGCAACAGCTGTGTATACGGATCTTGGTAGCCCGGACGATCTCCCAAGGAGCGTGGCTATTTGTCCAAATCGGAAGTGCGTTGCATTTGGATGCCGAATGGGCATTGAGCTGCATTGGGTAGATGCTTTGACTGGAGGTGACCTCAACCGGTGGTTTCCTCTTGCGGCACCAAGTGATTACCTCTATTTCCTGCCACAACGGCCAGGTCTTGATTCGAGAAAGAAACTCCGGCTAATATCCAGTGCGGCCGGTCCTGTTGCTACTGAGTTATTCCGAAGCGACAGCACGCCTGCCAGATGGGAATACTGGCCAACTTCAGCCGCCCACGGACGTCGGCAGAGCTTGACACGTCTCTTCTTCGGCAACCTACCAATCCCAACTGCTGCCATTCCGCAATCAGCACGGCCGGGTTTGGAAGCTCAAGTACAAGGTGATGAAGTTCAAGGCATTCTGCGCGCTGTGGACTGTGATCATTTCCGAGCAGTTCCAGTCAGCGACGGCTCTCACATGCTCTTCACGGACCCGGCGAACGGAATGTTATGCCTGGGCAGCGATGCCCCTCTTGGAGGTCCAACTAAGCTTATCAGGAAGATTGTCTTTACTCCTCCGGCCCATCCGAACGGCAGATACTGCTCGTCGCTGCGGTACACGGCTGGCAAAGCTCTAGACTGGGGGTTGCGTGTTGTTGCTGCCTATAATGACGGGCAAATCGTACTCTACAATGTCCCTTCAGACATCTTCAGACGCATGCAGAATGTACACAGCTCGACAGATGTATGGGATGAGAACGCCGGAGTCGTTGGACAAAGCGATTTACTGATGGATGCTCTCATGAGCAGCCACCCGGATCGGTCTACTGAGACTCTCACCGGTACTGCCGCGGCTTCAAGTCCTCAAATCTCACCAGAAAGTCCTCTGTATGTTGACGGCGTTGTGATTGCTTGTATTGAGAATGACTTTGTGGACGACCTTTCTGTGCAGACTGAAGGCGGAGGTTGTTTTGTGTGGGTCTTTTACAGAAGTGGGCGAGCGGAACTGCGCAGTATTTACTGGCCAAGCAATCACCGCAAGAGAGTCAGGTACATTGGTGAAGATGGTCTTGTCTATGATGTGGACGGTGGGAGTTCGGGGACGGACGACGACTCATATGAGCACGACAAGGGCAGGGCGACGACGATTACAGGCGCGGAGCCACAACCAGGGCATGTGTCTTGGGCAGCCCTAGATGGTCACGTTGACCATGCCGCTCGCCCAAAGGCGGCATGATCGGGCTATCTGTATGGTTCAGGTACGGACGCGACGCGATATTTTTATCTGTGTCGAATCGGCATACAAGTGGGAGCATGGTGCGATACTCATTGATAGCCTTTGAGACTGCGTTTTGCTACAAGTACACCCATTGTTTGAGATAGGAGTCGGAGGCTGGACTAAGCGATTGAAGTCAGACTGTTTGAACGATCACACTACGTTGCTTTCTCGATACATATGCTGACATGGAGGCCTCTTATATCGTAAGTCGAGCCGCCATAGAATCTGGACCAGTGAGCGCTTCCGGGCAAAGGTAGAGATGCCCCACGCCGGTGTGCGCCTCCCCCTTGCATCAAATGGCGATCTCTCAGTCCACAGTCTGCGATAGCATCTTAATCGACCAGCTGACATTACCATATAATGCAAGCTTCCTCGGTTCGTAGTATAAGTTTTGGTGAGCTTTGGTAGTATCACTGCTGATCTAACGCTTGCAGCAACGTCTTGCTCAATCTTTCAACCTGTTCGGGAGTCGTTGTCAAACTTGTCATGAAGTATATAACATCTCCCAAGACGCGGGAATGGATCCCACACCCTTCGGAATCCAGCAGCGTGAGCAGAAGAGCCTGCAGTGACGCTGTGGCGGACGAGTTATAGCCCGATCCCTCGGACGCGACTTTGAGCACGAGGACGGTGCCCAACGCGAAACAACCTCTCAGTTTGGGATGGTGAGAGAGCGTGTCGAGAAGGGAGGGCGGGAAGAATGAAAACACCGGCGTCGCCTGCGTAGGAGGGGATGCAGACGAGAGGGCCGGAGTGGTGGACTGGGATGTCGATGAGGTCCAGGGTTTCTTGAACTCATCCCACGACCCCTCGGTGTCCATCCGCCGATACTCATCCAGCGCCTTGTTGCCGACCATGCAGCCGATGGGATGGGCGGTGTACGAGTGTCCGTGGAGGAGGGCGTCTGATTTCGAGGCGGACAGAAACGTTTGGAAGATGGATTCGCTGGCTGCGGTGAGCGCGAGCGGCAACAGGCCCGCGGTTAAAAGTTTGGCGTGCACGGATATGTCTGGCGCGATCGGGGTGTGAAGGCGTGGTGATTGAGCGGCAGATGGAGATTGTGTGGAAAAGTTCTCGGCCGGCGTGGAAAGGAAGGATGATGAGCTGGCGCGGCCGAGCCGGTAGAGGCCGGTGAAGACTTCGTCTGCGATGAGAGGGAGGCCGGTCCAGTTCGAATCTGAACAGTTGGGTTCTGGTCCATCAACGGGAGTTCCTATGAGATCGGGGTTCGAGCGGATCGTGGTGATAAGCGTGCGTTGGAACAGCGGGTCCACGAAAATCATCCCGCCCGCGCCCATGAGGAGAGGTTCCATGATCAACGCACCCAAACGTTTGCCTTGGTCCTTGACGAGGGTTGTCAGGGTCGATTTGATGTGTTCTTCGTACCGGGCTGTGTCGGCTTGGCGAGCGTCGAAGTTGAAGATTGAGTCGAGTGAGTCGAAGACCTGGACTGTTCTGTCGTTGGCGTGAATGCTGCTAGATTGCATGTCCTCGGGAATGCTGAGTTCCCATTTCCCATGTCGCATGAGCAGGGACGGCGGATCGAACCAGTGGCCCCATGGTTGATGCCAGTCGACTTTCTCGTTGAAGATGTTCGGTTCGGAACAATTCATGACGCCGATCGTGTCGCCGTGGTAGCTGCCTTTCAGGCCGAGGATGGCGACTGGGGATCCTCCGTCGTCCTTGGCCCAGCCGTAGCGCTGGCACGAGGCGCGCAGGGCCATTTTCACGGCGACTTCCATGCCCGTGCTGCCGTTGTCGGTGAAGAAGACGCGGTTCAGGCGTGGGTTTTGCAGGGTCGAGAGCAGGTTGTAGGATATGTCGAGGGCTGGTTCGTGCACGGCGTGGGCGAACATGACGTGTCCGTACCGACCGGCGGCGTGGGCGGCGGTGAGTGCGATGTCGGGGTTGCCGTGACCGAGACCTTGAGTCCACCATGATGCTGAGGCGTCGAAGAGAGGTGTGAGCAGAGACTTGGCGGGTGGTTGTGCTGCGAGTGGTGCTAGACCTGAACTCGAGGTTGTGGTGGACGAGGCCAGGGAGGGATCGGATTCTTGGTTGTACGCTTGGAAGTGGTCGCCGTAGGCTGAGTCGATGGCGATGATGTTATGGGGAATGCTGTGTTGGCGGAAAGGGTGCCATATCACTCCCTCGGCTTGCGAAGGCATTGATGTAAGTTTTGAGACACGGGAGAAGTGTCTTTGTTGGAGAAGGTCTATCAGACTGGTAACGGCTTTAGACTCGGAGCATTCTTGATAGTAGTCTGACAAGACGGCCTCGTCATCCTTGGGGTCTTGTCGTCTCGTGGGAGGCATTGGAAGAGCGACGGTCGGTATGTCATGCTTTGAGAAGTGTTTCTCGAGGTAGCCATAATTGCGCCATTGAGAGTCGTCAAACAGGATCAACGAGTCGAGATCGTATCCTCGTACATGGAGTGATTCGAAGGCTGAGATAGTAGTGCCTATACCTCCAAGTTTGCTGTCTCCGATAAGGAGAGTGGGCAGACGTAGTGGTCTGTACAGATCGGCCTGAACGGAGCCAGAAGGTCCGGGAGACAAGACTCCTCCCGCTGTTTCGAGGATGGCATATCGTCCTCCGGCTTGGCTGTGCTGAGAAAGGAGCTCCTTGACTTGCCTGACTATCTGATGGTCGGACGTCGGTATCTGGGCCTTGGTTAGTGGATGCTAAGATCCGGTACCAGGGGAATGAGCCTTACTGAGCTGCTCCCATCAAGCTGGGCCGCCAAGTGAGGACTGAGCGGCTTAGAAAATTGAGAAATGCATTTCGAGACGATGTCCGGCACATATTGCCTGATATGCCTATGTTTGCAGTTAAGAAGAAGGGTACCTCGGTGAGTAAGTTGTGCTTACCTATCATCAGCCTCGGCCTGAGGTCCGGTGGAGACGGGCTTCAGGTACAGCAAGCCATTAGGCGATGCTCGGCGTTGCAAAGCTCGACATAGAATCGTCGAGACAATGGTCTTGCCAACGTCTGTGTTGGCGCCATAGACCTGCCACGCCTTCAGGTCTCGCCAAAGCATCCCGACCACCGCTGTCCTACCCACGCAGGCACCACTGGAAGTGAGAGAGTCGAACAAGGAGGAGATGCCAGATGCCAGTCCACGGAAGCCGCAGAGAAGCAGCTAAACTTCTAAGAGATTTTGTCCCTGCCAAGCCTCTAAACCCCCCGGTCTCCGGAATAACCCGAACCTCCGATTGGCGGCCAACCGAGGCTCTATCGCTTAACCTTCTGTTCTGGACAATTGTCGGGCCTCCTCAATATCAAAGAGTTGCTCGCTGACCCCAACAAATGTTCACTCGTATTTTGACGAGTTTTGGTTCTTGAAGAGCTATTGTTGCCTTCACGTAACCTCTATCCTGCGCCTTGGGGTCCTCGGACACATAGATCATTCGCAATATCGCTTTGTTGACTGAACCCTCAGCATTTGTCCGGCGATTCTTTCAGGATGTCACCATCTCCTCTGGAACAACGACTGTCCGCCCTTCTGGAGACACGTCGATCCCAATCAAAACTCCGCACTTTAAAGTCAAGTCCGTCTGGATCAGTAGACTTTTCGTCCAACGACTTCCTGTCCTTGTCCACCAACCAGGAGTTCAACGACGACTATCTCCAAGCTTTGAGCAGAAGCCGGATACCTCTGGGCTCAACTGGGTCCAGACTCCTCGATGGTAACTCGCAACATGCTGAGAATCTGGAACGGGAGCTCGCGGAGTTTCATGGCGCTGAGGCTGGACTTCTGGCCAACTCCGGTTTTGATGCGAATGTTAGCATTTTCGCGTTTCTTCCTCGGGAAGGAGATGTCATCATCTACGATGAATTAATCCATGCCAGCGTACACGATGGCATGAGGCAGAGCAGAGCACGGCAGAGAGTACCCTTCAAGCATAATGATGTCGTTGATCTGGCCCGTGTCTTGCAGAAGTTTGCCTCTGGGGATTTCAGCGGGACCATTTTCATTGCCGTCGAGACGGTCTACAGTATGGATGGCGATCTGGCGCCCTTGACAGAGATTGTCGAGCTTATGGAATCGACCTTTCCACACAGGAATGCTCACCTCATAGTGGATGAGGCGCATGCCACGGGGCTTTACGGTCCCAACGGCTCAGGAAGAGTCTGCGAGCTCGGCCTCGAGAATCGTGTCTCCATCCGTCTGCACACGTTTGGCAAAGCCCTAGCATGCAATGGGGGTAAGTGAATGTCCGATAAATGTGCGACTTTTCTGATCTTCTATCAGCCATTATTCTCTGCCCCCCTGTCATACGCCTCTATCTGATCAACTACGCCCGACCCCTAATCTACACGACATTTATGTCCTACCCTAGCCTAATTGCAATCAAAACAGCATATAGCTGGCTACAATCGGGGAAGGCAAATCTAGTAGGGCGCCACTTCTCGCCGGACTTTGTCACGGGACTAACATTTTCAGCTTGCCGCAAATCTGTATCACCTAATCGACCATCTTCACACTCAACTTCAGACGTTGGTGGCCGCCAAACCTCAAGCAACGAAAGAGAGTCTCGAAAATCTCATCACACTACCGGGTACTTGCCCAGAGTCGCCTATCTTCGCCATTCTGAGCTCCCATCCTCGCTTGTTGGCCGCACACTGCCAGGCTGCTGGATTTATTGTGCGTCCGGTCGTTGCGCCGACGGTGCCCGAGGGCACTGAGAGAGTTAGAGTTTGTCTTCATTCAGGAAACACTATTGAGCAGATTGACAAGTTCGTGGCGTGTGTCAGGGAATGGCTCGAGAAAGCAGTCGTGGGCATAGGAATGCAGAACGAAATCAACAGCCTCAACAAGAGACCTATGCAACACTCTGGCCAGCGCAGCACCGAAGCCCTGTTACCGGCAAAGATATGAGGCTGGCAGGGGACGCTGCCAACGTTATTTGACCCTCTTATGGTCAATCTGCTTGAGACAGAATATCTGCTGCCAATCCCCAGTGATGATGGCTTTGGAGAGGAGTAATAAGAAGCTCCAGGATTACAGGTTTAGATGATGCTTGTGCTTATTGCATCAAGCCTAGCACCTTCTGAGAGGAAAGTGCGCGATCGCTATATCTTGGGAATGCTGAATAGGGGTGCGGAAATCCACTAAGATATCTTGGACGAATGACACCGAGAACGAGCAGTGGCCAGCGAACTCTTGCCACTAGTCTGCAGTCGAAGGAGAGCATATCTGCCAACATGTTCTCGTTGAAGGACTTCCGGAACGGTTTTCATCCTACGGCACTTGCGCAACGATCTAGCTGCACGCGCCGTGGTAGAGCGGCTGGCCTTTATGCAGGGTAGGCCGACTAAGGGGATTTCAGCGACATCAGTGCTGCAGATCGTGACAGGCAAGTCCAATGTCAGTGCGAAATATTGCCGCACTAACAGGTAATCGCGCGGCGAGCGGCGAGTTCGGGGAGTATATCTCGATGGAGGGCGCAGATTCGAACAACAAGAAGAAGTCGTCAGCAAGCCTTGGATGAAGATGTAGAGGCTCTAGGGACGCAAAGGATCCCGGGATTGCAGACAACGACCGACTGCATAGGTCACTGTAGGAGTGGGTGGTGGGAAGGCGCCGCTTGTCAGTACTACTGGAGTTTGATATAAAGCTACAGTAGCGAGTAGATTTGTCCTACTATTGCCAGAAAGCGGCTGGAAAGACGAATAAATACTAGTACTTAGTTCTGCATATTCAAGTACCTTACTCATGGTCGAAATGATCTCTTAGTACTGGGAAGAAAGGGATAAAGGACAGCCTCACAACTTGAAGGCCTGTCTCATCCTGAGGTCATGGAGCTACCAGTCGTTAGGCGTTCAGAACTCGGAGGCATTTATCTTTGCCACCGAAAACGCTTGGCGACCTCAAAGCGCACGTACGGAGAGATTTGATACCTAAAAAAAAGCCACTCACCCCGGACTCGAACACAGGAACACTACCAGAAGAAAATGGCAAAAAAACTTTTAGCACTCTTTGAAAAGCGTGTCATCCTTAGTGCAGGGGCCATGCTAATCTGCAGCATTGTTAGTTTGATGTTTGGCACTTATGGTGTGATGAACAAACCTTCTCTGTATCGTTTCAAATTGACCAAATGCCTTTCGGCACCAGTATTTGGCTACTACTGCATATAAATTTGATTTTGGTTATCACGTGATCGCGCTGAGCGACCCTACGATTCTCCGAGTGCTCCAGGCTACTGAAGGAAACTCTACGGTAGCACGCACTGCATTGAACAGGAAGCCCTTCTACCACACAAAGTGTCCTCGCTGCTGTTTGTCGTCGAATGACACCCTAGCGCCATATTACACGATTTACCTATGAGATCGTAGTAGCTACCTTACTTACCTCCTTAGGCAGGTAGGCTTTGTGATTGGAGTGCTCGCCTAGCGCCACGGCCTTTCGCTGCGGACCGCGAGACGGAACTTTCTCGCCAGTCTGGATGATGGAGATCGCCAGTCTGGATGATGGAGATCGCCAGTCTGGATGATGGAGATCGCCAGTCTGGATGATGGAGATCGCCAGTCTGGATGATGGAGAT